CCTGTATGTAGCAAGGTACGTCGTAGAATTAGGTGGGACCATTGCAGGGGTTCCCCAAAAATCCCATCGGATAGGTGGCGGTGCGCTCTGCGTTAGGTACATACATGGTACTTTCCTAGATTTTTAGTGGCGAGAGGGGCAGAAAAGAGAACACTTGTCATTAAGTTTGCCCCATCAACTGAACTCCACACCGCTTGATAAGGTTGCTTAGTTCTATCGAGAGGCGGGGCTTTTCCAAGTCCCTGCATTTCTAATAATTGTCTAGGTAGGCCGTGCATCTGCTAGAGCTGCGTAAGCCACAGGTATTTAGTTTAGTGGGCACGGTTCTAGTGTACACTAAGAGACTCTAGTGTAAACTATCTGATGATTAAGCTTGGGGTTGGACAGACTGTTACTGTGGCCAGATATTCGGAACTATTCAACCATTTATCCAACTTGTCAATCTTCTCCAAATTCAACATTCCCTGTTCTCAAGGGGACACATATGCCATTGTAGGAGAATACAAAACGTCTCTCATCTACATTCTACGTTTACTGCACTTTTTTCTCCGATAGTTCATTGCTCTTCTTACGTAGCCAGTGGTAATATTATAGGTGTGTTAAACTAATTTTTCTTTCCTCCATGGTATCCCCCGCTGCATTTTTACAGGCTTCCCCAGCTCTATTTCTGCAATCTCCTCCACCTGGAAATCGCAATCTGAGATAGCTAACCTAGTCGATTACTATTCAGGTGCTTCACCATGTACACGGCTCGGAACATTATATTTGGTCTGCTTGCAGCCAGCACAGGCGTTCATGCTGCGGACGCCGCATCAGATGTCACACAACTGAATAAGGACACCTTTGAGGAATTCGTCAAGGGCAATGACCTCGTTCTAGCAGAGTGTAAGTTGCGCTTCCAACGACGAGGTATTAGAACTGTAGCTAATACTCCACGTAGTCTTCGCTCCCTGGTGTGGTCACTGCAAGGCGCTCGCGCCCGAGTACGAAGAGGCCGCTACTACGTTGAAGGAGAAGTCGATTAAGTTGGCTAAGGTCGACTGCACAGAGGAGAGTGAACTCTGCCAAACATATGGCGTTGAGGGCTACCCAACGCTCAAGATTTTCCGTGGTTTGGAAAGCATCACTCCTTACACCGGCCAAAGGAAAGCTGCTGCGTGAGTAATCTATCCGTATCCAATTACCTACACTTGTAATTACTGACTTGACTTCTAGAATCACTTCATACATGATCAAGCAGTCCCTCCCCGCCGTTTCGCTTCTGACCTCGGAAACCCTCGAGGACTTCAAGACCGCCGACAAGGTTGTCTTGGTTGCCTACATCGACGCCTCTGACAAGGCCTCCAACGAGACTTACACCAAGGTTGCTGAGAAGTATAGGGACTCTTACCTCTTCGGTGCCACTAACGATGCTGCATTGGCTGAGGCCGAGGGTGTTAAGGCACCGGCCGTTGTTCTATACAAGCAGTTCGATGAGGGCAAGGCTACCTTTTCGGAGAAGTTCGATGAGGAGGCTATTGAGAAGTTCGCTAAGGTTGCCTCCACACCCCTGATTGGTGAGGTCGGCCCTGATACCTACTCCGGCTACATGTCTGCCGGTATCCCTCTTGCCTACATCTTCTCCGAGACTGCCGAGGAGCGAAAGGAACTTAGTGATGCTCTCAAGCCCGTTGCCGAGAAATACCGTGGCAAGATCAACTTTGCTACCATCGATGCCCAGGCTTTCGGCGCTCACGCCAACAACCTTAACCTCAAGGCTGACAAGTTCCCGTCCTTCGCCATTCAGGAGACCGTTAAGAATCAGAAATTCCCCTTCGACCAGGAGAAGGAGATTACCTACGACACTATCAGCGCTTTCGTTGACGACTTCGTAGCTGGAAAGATTGAGCCCAGCCTTAAGTCTGAGCCGATTCCTGAGAAGCAGGAAGGCGCGGTCACTGTCGTTGTTGGCAAGACGTACGAGGACATTGTCTTGGATGACTCCAAGGATGTCTTGATTGAGTTCTACGCTCCCTGGTGCGGTCACTGCAAGGCTCTCGCCCCTAAGTACGAGGACCTTGCTTCCCTGTACAGCAAGAGCGAGTTCAAGGACAAGGTCGTCATCGCAAAGGTTGACGCCACTGCCAACGACGTGCCCGATGAGATCCAGGGCTTCCCCACCATCAAGCTATACCCCGCTGGCGCCAAGGACCAGCCGGTCAGCTACTCTGGCAGCCGAACTGTCGAGGACCTGATCAAGTTTGTTAAGGAGAACGGCAAGTACAAGGCCTCGGTGTCGGAAGGACAGGAGGAAGAGACCCCCGTCGCTCCCGCTGCAACCGAATCCAAGTCTACTAGCAGTGAGGCTGCGCAGTCGACGCACGACGAATTGTAAACTAGGGACTCGAGAATAAGTCAAGAAAAAGCAAATGTACACTTTCTAGTTATATGAACCGGACACCTTAATCGGCCGGTACGCTGGGTCACTGGGACTGGGATACGAATGTTGACTTCAGGTAGTTCAGCATAAAGGGTCATGAATTTTCCGTTTATATGTTTTATGATTGTTTTGGTCTTCATGAACTATGCTAGTTTTGATGCGATTCAGTGATAGATGTGCGGTACGTAGTGAGGTAATAGGTATTTCTAGATACAATCGTACCACTGGTAGCCTTACGGAGTAGTGTAGTACATTAGGTACCTAAATGTAGTAGCCAACCAAGAGGATTCATTTAGTGAGCAATTCCCTGAGCTGTCCCCGAGGTTGACCAACTGACAAGGTCCTGCCGAGAAATATCCGCCGCCTGTGTACCTAAACTTTAGGACCCACCTTGGGAACTCTTAATTCAATTAATCGACGCACGTCCTCTTTGAAGCTCTTTGGCCACCCAACTTTAAACAACACACATTTTAGTGGAATCCATTTACACATCGCGCACGGCAACAACTAAATTTAGTTGTTCGAAAACTATGGCGTCGAGGGTTTTACTCGGCCGACTTCGAAGCGCCTCCGCGGCTGCTCCAATGCGCGCTGCACGCAACTTCCACGCGACAGCACGAACGATGGCCGACGAAACGACTCCCTTACCTGTTCGCAAGCCTGTGGGTGCCTTTCGCGGAGGGTGAGTCAGATATACGATAATAGAAGGGTTTATTTAGAAACTAATGGCACATGGCTTGCTATAGACTCTTCGGTTTCCTCCTCGGTGCGACTCTCGCGGGTGCTGGCATTTACAGCTATGTCTTGTCAGTATAACCTCGCAACTACGTTCCATAGGTCTCTAGAATTCGTGAATACGCTCTATGCGAATACATGACGTCTATATCACAGGGACTTCAACCGAGACGAGAGTACTGTCTATAAGAATAGGCGAAAATAAAATACTAACCTGAAGTTTAATAGGCGAGAATATAAGGCCTCCAACGAGTTATTAACGGAGGACATCTATGTGCGTTTCTGCATTTGATTATTCCGAATCTTGCGTTTTGCTTTCCAGCGTTGGAGTTGGGGACCACCTTCAGCGATTTCTTTTCCTAGCCATGAATTCCTCCTTATCCTCCTCCCTCTCGACTTCGACTCCTTCGGAAGCAACACCCCGACTGACTTGTGGTGTCCGGAAAACAGGCTCTACAGGCTGCGTGCCAACGATTGAACACGTACGTCCAGCAACTCGAAGAGAAGATGGACGCCGCGGAAAGGAAAAGGAAGTAAACGGACGAACAGGCGGGGTCGGATATAGGACACGGACGACCGGACGGGTGACTGGAGGTAATGGTGTAGGAATATGGGCATCGTACATACATTTCTCGACACTGAAAGCAACATGCAAAGGGTTCGCACCTCAAAAGAAAATTAGTTTTTTGTCAGCTAGCGGGGAGTTAAAAGAATTAATGGCTAAACTATACAGTGACAAGAGCACATTTGTAATGGTTCTGCAAGACTATGCGTTTCGTATCGTATCGTACCTTAGGTATGCTACTTGATTTCCCGTCCCCAAAAACTATACATTGCGCAACATGTCTGCCTCAATACGCTTGCGCCATAGTTATTCAGGCGCCTTCTTTAAGTTGGTTCAATATTCAGCCTTTTACCGACTAGTTACACCACATCTGAACATATCCGATAGCTCCCGGATCTCAGCTACGGAGGTGTAGAGGGAACACATTAAAAAAACGCCAAAATTCATACGTAGACTCTTAGGGGTATAATTTGTAAAGCTATGGTTAAATGATAATATTTATTAAAGCATTATAACGCTACTTTAATAAGAATAAGGCTACCCCCATTATTCGCATAACTACCTCTTTATCAACAACGTTGGGAATTCTGGTCCAATTATTTTTTAAAAAATCTATTATATTGAATTGAAAAATAAGAAAAATAAGAAGCTTAACCGCACGTAATTCGGACCTATATTGGTCTCAATACGGCTAAAAGCATATGGATGTTTTAAGCGGCATCTTTCCTATAACAGCCCGTTCATACGATGCGCGCCCTCTCATTGGCTAAATCTCATACCTGGCATTACCCTTATCTCGCACCTTATCCTGCTTACATAGTATCTTGCGGCCTCTTATACAGCCTCTCATTCAATTCAATTCAATTCAATTTAATTACAATATATGACCATTAGGTAAAGACTATACGGTCGCATCCAGTCATTGCGAGGTAAAAGGCTAAAAACGAGATCCCGATATAAGGTTTGGAGGGATGTACATATAAGGCTAGCTGGCTGGCTGGCCAATCAGGTAGCTATTATACGAGGCTATTTGATTAGATAAGACTGGCTATATTTGATAATTGCATATACACTAATAAAAAGTCAGATGGGGGTAAGTGTATTAACAAAATTTACGTTTTTTTAATGTGTTCCCTCTACACCTCCGTACTCAGCTTAGGTAAATGCCGGAGGAGGTCCACTTTTAACCGGACCGGGCCGCACGCACTCATCAACTATGATATTATAGCCAGATGTTTCTAAAGTAGTGTGCGATTCGGTAGCCTGACTAATGAAGCTTCGCCCAGATCGCTATTTTTGAATGTAGGTACTATTGACACATTCTGCTTGTTCTGTCGGGTATCTCGTGACTCGTCGAATGTAGCTAGAGCGCGAATAGTTCTTATGAAGATCGGCACGCCCGTGTAAGATGGGGTACATCTCAAAGTACCGGGCATAAGATGTTTGGATGCCATGCTTCGTAGGAACGACGAAGGATGGCGAAGCTAACTCAGATATGGCGGAAAGAGGCTTGGATGGTCAATAATAACACCAATGCCATCAACGCTTGACCTAATATTGTCTACCAATGCTGATTATTAATATAGGCTGCTATATAGGTACCTAGGTAGGTACTGATCTCCATAACTTGTGGACCACTTATTGTACTATGTAACACTTGTTACACATGAAGGCTGGCTTCTATCCATATTTTTATTGTTTTCGGCCCTTCGATGCTTCCTTGTACCAATTAAGAGTAGGCAGTGTTGCCAAGCTGAATCCAAAACCTGACTAATACGTCAGAGTGTTCAGGATAGGAAATGAAGCGATGGAACAGAGAAGCACGCTACTGAACGTCGATCGTTTAAATATCTACGCCCCCATGGGGGTGCGAGGAGACCTCGCCTACGGCGATGCTGGAAGTTGTTGTCTTCATTTATACATACAGCTACTGGCTGAAATAGCTATGTCTCGATGGCATCGGTAGATCACCACTATGGCTTCGAACCTTACAGCACGCTCGAGGTGCAAAGCGTAGAGGCCTCAACTCCCCAGGTCCTGGAGGGTTCGAATAAAGAAGTGGTGCCTCATCCAGAAAGTCCATATCTGCAGCCCGTCTCCACACTCAACGCGTGGGATGCCCCAAAGCCAGAAGCGAATGGCGTCGACAAGGAGGCAGCAGTCACCCAGGGACAGAACTACGGCGAAGCGAAGCGAACGATATGTGGACTATCACCACGCATCTTTTACGTTGTTCTGGCGGTTGTTGTACTAATTATAATCGGAGCTATAGCCGGAGGTATTGCTGGGGGCTTGTCTAGTAAGCACAGCGATTCGAGTTCAACGTCAATCCCGGAACCGAAAACGGAACCAGAACCAGAACCAGGGACGACAGAAAATGTTAACGTTCTAAGTACATCGAAGCTTGCGGCATCAAACTGGACGGACTCGCAAGGCTATATTCACAGGCACGTGTTTTTCCAAGATCCTTACAATGCTATCATTACTCGGCAATGGGACTCGGAGAATAAGACGTGGACGACGAATAATGTCAGCCAGCTACTGTCGTCATCGACGACGGGGCCTATTCATCCAATCCCGGGGACGTCCCTGGCGTGCGCGTCTGCTGATAATAATTGGGGTCCTCTGTACGAGGTGCACGTCTGGTTCTCAGAGGCTTCGACCGACCCAGAACCTACCATCAGTTGGGCGAATTTGAACGATCCGATCGGAAACCCCAACTTCTGGACATATACCCCGTCGATACTTCGGACATGGAACAACACTCAACTAGCGGTAGCTTGGCAGCGCTGTCTGAGGGATGACTGCGTGGGAAACTGGGTTCTTGCGTATCAGGGGCCCCAGGGCTTCGTCAGGATCGCAAACGCTACTAACTGGGACAATAACACAGAGCCGGTAGTCAGGGGCAGTGCCGTTTCCGCCGGGGCTAGCTTGGCTTTGGCGCCGTCGCTCAACGGCACTTATGTCCATGGATTGACACTTGCTTCCCAAAGGAGGCCGAGCTCAATGGGCAAGACAACCTTCATAGGTGATTGGAACTGGAAGGAAGATGGTAAGGTCGGGTTTCCACGACACACGAAGCCCCTGCTAACGGATACCAGATGGAACGATATTAGATGATGTTGACCCTCTAACGACACGGCAATTCGCCGCCACTACGATGAATAACTGGACCGAAGCGCTCTTCGTCGCCTTATCCACGGACGGGGGCGTAAAAGGAGCTCGATGGGATGGGACGGCTTATAATGCGATCCCGCAGATTAATTTTGTCGACGGGGAGTCGACCAACTTCTCCGCTATTGCGATGACGACGGACGCGACGTTCTACGGGATATCTGATGATCAGATATGGGAATACACCGTCGATGCATCGGATCCGTCCACTTTCACGCTTGCTGGGAAGGTATACCCATAGTTCATGAGAAGTAATCGAGATAGGGATACGTCAGTTTATATTAAACGAAATCACGAAATCAAGGGGATGTACCAAAGGCAAGCCTGCATGGCAAGGGATTTAAATTAATGACTGCGCTAGCTGTACAAGTAAGGGTGCTGACCTCGTCGGCCTCAACCCTCACCAACTCCTGTAGTTATCGCTATCTACCTAGTGACGAAATTCAATTTGAGGTTGGACTGAACCGCAGGGCCTCGATCGATGTAATGATGTATTATATCTTGTATATATAATACATCATTACATCGATCGAGGCAACCGCGGTTACCTCAAGCAACATGTCCTGGTTGATGTAAAGCGCTTAAAAAATACCCTTGCCGTCGTATTTATTTTCCGGCGTGCCTGTACGACTGGCCAATTCATCCCCTATCCCCTAAACCGCGTCTCTATTTTTATACTTGCAATACTGCGTCATGTGCCGCCGCAAGTTATCACCCCGTCGTTTGAACTTCCTCTCGCACTGGGAACATTGGTCCCACTCCTGCTGGTGTATCGACTGTACGTGGCGGCGTAGGTCTCGTGCTTCTGAGAAAGACCATTCGCATTGGGTGCAATGATGGTTTTTCTCGTGACGTCTATTATGTGTACTGTGAAATGGTGAGCATGAAACCTCTCCTTATCTCTCATCATGGAAGAAAACATACTTTAACTTGCCCTGGGAAGCGAAGGAGACGTCACATGTCCCGCACACGAAATCCGGTCCCGTAAGATGTTCTGCTGAGCCCTTTTCTGAACGCGTGCCCGTGGATAGTCCGCTCTGCTCCTCTTCTAATAAGGAAGGCTGCCCAGCACTGGGATCGATGAAGTTCAGTGACGACAGGTCTAAATCCGAGCCCATATTTGGATCGAAGTCCAGTTCGTTTTGGCTGATATTGGCGAACTGTGCTTCCAAAGGCTGCTCGGGTGTAAGGCTGTACTCGTCATCACCATGGGCGACGTTGAGTCTCCCTGCCAACCAGTTCGATATTGGGAACTGGCCAGGCATCGGCACGCCAGACCACTCATCCTGCAACTCTCCACAACTCTCACCTCCTCCCCCTCCCAGATATACATCCGGATATGCATCCGGACATATATCTGAACATACATCTGGATACGCATCTGGATACACCTCCGGATATGCATCCGGACGTACATCCGGACGTATATCTGGAAGACACTCCCCAACTATCCCCCCTGGATCGTCCCCTGTATAGTAATCGAGAACAGGAAAGGCTCCGGGAAATCCGAAGAGGTCAGGAGACGCCTCCAGTCCAACAAAAGCGCCCTCGAGACCGGCCTCAGACGGGTTTCCGTCAGAGCCTTTACTTGCCTGACTACTGCTGCATCGTTCCGAAATTGAGTACGAGGGAGGACAGAACTCGCCCTCCCTCGGGAGTCACTATGAATCTTGTAACAATCGACGAAGCTTGACTTGGCTGTAAGAAAACGGGGTTAGTTAGGTATACTGAAGCTAGGAATCGTATAGTATATATATAGTAAAGACTCACTTTGACGAAGGTTGAGGAGCGATCTCCCGACTCCCCCCTCCGAAATGCTTAGCAAGAAGAAAGGAAAATCTGACGGCTGGAGTTTGCGCGGGGTGTTTATATGCTGCGCGATGGTGCGAGGGACCTCCGGGCCTCTGTTTAGGCCAATGCGATCGGATAAGGCTCTGAGGCCGCACGAAAAGAGGCCGCACGAAAATTAAGCCGGTTCAATGCAAGTTGTGTTACTTCTTGGGACGCCATTGCCCGCATATGACGCGAATCCGGGGACGTGATCCAATCATCGCGTTAATTGTGTGCAGGAAGCGCATGAGGCCGAGCCAATGAGCGAGACGTTGACGGATGTCGACGGCCAATTCTTACACCGAATAATAACATACATACACCTGATGCGCCCTACCGTCTTCCATCTTCCCTCTTCTTCCATTCAAGAACTTGTACTTCGTAGATAGATCCGATCTCACTGTCACGTGAGTTCGTTCAGATAATATGAGGCTATCCAGACCTATTATTATCCCCCTTTTACATACTACCAATTAGCTTCGGGCTGGCCGGTTGAGATTGCTATATATTCTCATCTATAGATACTCTATTCGTCCATTTCAGTGGAGAATTTTATTGCGGTCAAAGCTATTTCTGGAAGAGAGCCGCGTTGTGCACGGTAGGTCAAATAGTTGACCCCTGTTATACGGCCGATCATTCAATAATTCATGCTGCTACACAGTAAATCCAGAAATTTGATAAAAATGGACGAGGCTTTACTCCTTTCCTTTTTTTTTTTTTTTTTTTTTCTTTTTTTTTTTTGAAAAAACAAAAATCGAGATAATGCTCTTCTCCGCCTCTGTAACATACTCTTAACTTAAGCGGTCTAACGTGATTAATGTGACATTCCTTGGCGGTCAAGATTCGGAGTCGTCCAGTACTAGTTTAGACAACTTCCCGAGAATGCTACTCTACCACGATACCATACCAGAACTACACCTTCTTAGTTTTTATGCTTCTTACAAGGAAAATGGAAAATCCTATCCTTGAAGCGGCCATTAAGATATTACTAGTTTAGAGTGATGGGATAGCATGAGGTACGCCACATTCGGGCCGGACTTTTACATTGTACAACTTCAATCTTAGATTAGGTACCTCGAGTTATCTTACAAGTCCGACAGTCAGTCGACTTGTCTTGTTTGCTAAGTTCACGACGAGAGAACTTCATCAATATGACGTCTTCACCCAGCCCTGTACTCTTACATATAGCCCACCTCAGCCAGCCATATACGCCTTAGGTAGTAGTTAATTAGGATCCGCTGGGTCGGGTCTGACATACATTACAAGTCCCTAGTTGGCCGATTTTACGATAGGCAATTGGCGATCAGTGTAACATTCTGGAGTTCGTATCACGATGTATATGAAGGAAGTAAAGGAAGCATTGACGTGTGAATTTGGGTAAATTTGGGGTTTATGCCCTATCAGATCGAGTAGGGCTACCCTGGGCAACATATAGCGTCATATGAAACCTATAATAAAGGGCCTTGTTGATATACATATAGAAGTGCGTATACGAGACTCGAAATTCCACATTTCGCGTGGCTAAGACAATGACATAATCTTACCTGGTTTATATAGTGTAACTATACCTACCTCATATATAAATAAGCAGCCCTCGAAAAAGAAACACAAACCTTACACCCCTCGACAATGGAACTTCTACAAGTTCGAACGACGTTCGCCGAATTTTTTCGGGCCGGACTGGCACCGCTTGCTCTAATTGTAATAATAGACCTGTCCTTGAGTTTGATAGTCAAAACTAATATCCGCAGATTGCTGCTTTTTGGGCATATCAGATAATATATAACCTTTATTTCCATCCGCTCTCCAAGATTCCAGGCCCCTGGATCGCCGCTATTAGCGATGTGGGTTCAACACCATGTATTATATATAGGTCCAATACTTACCTATGAATATTACAGATTCCGTACTGTTCGTGGATGCTCGGAGGTCGCCAACCTTACAAGTTACTTGAACTACATAATAAATATGGTATGTTGGCCACATATATATATATATGTGTGTGTGTGTGTGTATGTGTGAATAGAATGGAGCTAACGACATAGGCCACGTTGTCCGCGTCGCGCCAAACGAGGTGTCCTTTAACACCGCCCAGTCATGGAAAGATATCTATGGCCAGAAGCCCGGTCGCCAAATATTCATAAAGGGAACTTTCTACGACGGCGGTAACTTTGCTGGAAACGGAACCAGTTCGATTATAAGCGAGAGAAGACCGGAAGTCCACAAGGAGATGCGAAGTAGTCTAGCTGGCGCCTTTTCCGACCGCGCCATCGTAGAGCAGGAATCTCTTGTTGCTGCCTCTGTCGATAAACTTATCCGGCTAGTTGGCATCAAAGGCTCCACGGAAAAGGGGGTTGATATATCGACACTGTTCGAATCGATGACTTTTGATATTACCGGCGATCTTGCCTTCGGGGAGACATTTGGTGCGCTGGATAATGGTGAGTCTTTGACCTTCGTTTAAAACTTTTTTGGTCAGCCCCTGGCTAAAGGATAATGTAGATGAACGACACCCTTGGATATCTACAACCCTGGATGGTTTGATGCAAGGCGTGTTCATAGATATTTTCAGCCGCTATCCCACTCTCGGCGCGATTCTTCGTGTACTCATGCGCTCCAGATTCAAGAAAGCTGTGGAGGGTGTTAGAACTAACGAACGGTTATGTTATGAGCTTGTTAAACGGTATGTGTAAAACAACCTAGCACTTAAATTATTGTTTGTTACATTTACTAATTCCAAGAAGGCGGATAACAAGAAAAACAGATCGCAAAGACTTTTTAACACGAATTCTCGAGGACAGAGATCCTAGAATCGTATCCGATAGGCAAATTGCTGCTCATTCCTCTGACTTTGTCGTTGCCGGGAGTGACACCACTGCGTCCAGTTTGGCTGCTATAGTCTACTACCTCCTGCAAAACACCTATACTCTGGCGAAGCTGAGAGACGAAATCCGAGGAACGTTCAAGAAATACTCGGACATTAGCTATCTTTCCACCGCGTCAATGCCCTACCTTCGTGCGGTCATCCTAGAAGGGATGCGTTTATATCCCCCGACACCAATGGGGCTCCCTCGACTTGTACCAGATGGTGGAGACATAGTCGATGGTTGCCCTCTTCCTGGAGGGGTGCGTTATACCTACCCATACCAGCTTCTATCGAGTATCATAAAGGAATGTGCTAACTTCTTCATAGATTACCGTATATACGAGTCCCCTTTCAGCCAGTCTAGCCTCGGCAAACTTCCAAGACCCGTGGTCATTTAAACCAGAACGATGGCTCGAATCTAAAGGAAGCGACAGCCTAGATTGCAGTCAGCCATGGTCATTAGGTCCTAGAGGATGTATCGGTAGAAATCTGGCGTGGCTAGAGTTGCGGACTACGCTTGCGAAGTTGCTCTGGGTCTATGACCTCCAACTCGTCGATCCAACCCTCGATTGGCACGGCGAGTCTAGGATGCAGACCTCTTTATGGCAAAAGCCAGCTTTAATGGTCCGTGCACATAATAGGGGGGATAGGGGGGCTAATATTGAATGAGCATACAAGGGAGGACTACCCATAGAGATAAATAAATAAATAAATAAAGGACTAAAAATATTACCAGGTGCTGGATTCGAACCAACCTCTCCTTCATAGCAGTCCTTCATCTGCCAGTGCTCCTAGTTGTGGCTCAGTCTTCCGCTGTCTCCTCGTGTACTAGTAACACGTTGTCCTTAACATCGTTAAGACCGCATGAGCCCACTGAGCCAACTGTAACATCAGGGTTGCTATTCCTCAGGCGACTTCACCAACAGTCCGACCCGGCGTGAAGGGTGGTTCTTTATTATGGTATATAACCTTTATCTGACTCAGGTATGTGCCAACTGGACGCCGACACAACACGTCACGACTATACTTAGGTACCTAACCTAGGTAGGTACCCATATACTATGTATTATTGTAGTTTTACGCGTGAAATTGTTGTCATATCAGTGTCAGGCCTCTCAACTTATGCTCTCGACACTAGTAGCAGCCTTTGTCCCTGTCCCCAACTTAGTAACATTTATGACTACCTAGGTACCTAATGCTTCGCGTAAGAAGTAATACGGTTTCTATATCAAAAATATATAGCGTTGAAGATGAGTTGGAAATATTGCCATCCTGAGTCATGCTAATTAATATGTTTCCCCCTATTTTACCAAAGTGTAATTCATTTCATCTCCCACTCAACTTTTCGCCAAGGGCACACCTCTGTTCTAGCAACTCGTTAAACCATTTTGTCATCTGTTGAATCGGTGCATGTCCCAGCCCTTCAACGATCAACGCCTTCCCAGGGTTCAGATACTCGATCAACTTCCTACCATGATCCACCGGAATCATCCTATCCGCAGTTCCATGCAAGACCATGATCCTTTCCCTAGATACCCGATCCGCCAGATCTCTCAGCTGTTCGGGGCTCTTTCGGTGGAACCCGCCAGCAACCGCCTGCAGTAGAAACCCGTTCTTGCTCCGCCGCATATGTATCTCTTGCGCTGCAAATCGCTCGTAGTTGCTGTCGAACTTCCCGTACCCGCCAGTAGGTACTTCGCACTTGGGTGTTTTCTCGCTAGGCGGCTCTGCCTCGTCCGGGGCCAGGAGCCACTCCTCAGGGAAACATCCATTTGCCGTTGAGCGGATCTCACTCTCGAGACTTCTAGGGAACAAAGCACCAAGGCGGCCCATACTCTCCTTGAATGTGCCATTATTCTCTAACTTAGCCGCGGTGCAGTGCAGATTCAGACTAGCAATGCGCTCCGGTGCTAGGACTGCAACCTCCTGCGCGATCATGCCACCCACTGTGGTATTTTGAGTTGTTAATGGCGATTATATAAAGCATATAATTTTTATACGGACTTGAGTATGGGGGGCTAGCCTCGAAGGTCTTTACGGAAAAGAGGGATGGCGCAATGCGTCGACGATAAGGAGGGGCTAAAGAAAAGGGGAAGTTGGAAGATACATACTACTGCCGCCTGAGATATGAAGTTGACGATCTGCTGTCCAACCGAGATAATCTATGACCTCGAGCAAATCACGCGCCATCTCTGACGTACTATACCGCATCACCGGTTTATCTGACTTGCCTGCACCGCGATTATCGAAGACAAGCACGGAGTACTTATCTCCACGTTCGTGGCCGAAGTACAAGGTTTGCTGCTGCCAATCCGCCTTCGTCAGGCCAATGCCACCGATCAACTAATCTTGTTAGGGCTACTATCGTGAGGAATAGACAGGTTAAGGAAGATACACACAATAAGCTTAATAGGCCCTTCGCCGTGGATCTCCCAGCTGATATTCAGGGGCCCCCCTCTTCCAGCGGCAACAGGCAAGAGGCCGTACTGATGCGGCTGGAGTTTCCATATTGCCGTCGGGAATGCCGGACTCTTTGATACTGCTTCTACCGATGGAAAGACCATACTTATCTACCTACCTGACTTATTAACAATGAACATACGTCAAGCGTGTGGGAAATATACTTGGCTAATATGAGTTTCATGCACTAAGGTGAGGTCGACCAAGGAAATCTCTATGCATAAACGGTCTAATAGCTATTTGAAAGACAGAAGGGGTTTATAACATTGAACTCGAGAGTTAATCCCGGGGTTCGTTAAATCTACAGCTTCTTCAGATGAATCGTATTAGGTACCTAGTTATTCGGATCAGCTCCGACTTGGCCTCGAGATTTATTGCTAACCTACCTGTGCTAATGCAAGCAGCTTACGCGCTCCCCGGACAGGTCCGGGATTTTGCGGAGAGGACCCAAGACCTAATAACCAGGGTCCGATCAAATCCGGACTTTGTATTTACTTTTCACCGAAAGGATACTACCGTAGGGCTGGACAAGATGACTAAACTTGGGCGTGAAACTGCTCTGAGGTGGTAGTATTCTTCATCCAACTGCACGTGCTTTGAAATCCTAATACTTTCTACCTGATCGATAGCAGAGGAATATTTTAGAACGACTCCCTTAGCCGACTTTTGGTCTGAGTAAAGTTGACTCAGGGAGCTATTCTTCTTCTGTGAGGTCTAACTGGACGGACAACACATCACATGGCCTAGGTTAAGCCTAATAACGTCCAAGATAAAAAAGAAAATAGTATGCTAGGTGAAGATGGTTGGGCGGAATTGATTATTAGAATACATAGAAGATATTGATTTGCTAAGCTGACAAGTACTATGTAGCCTCACGGTTTACCTTTCATCGAGATAATGAATGAGTCACTGAGTTGGGCTATTATTTTACTGATTGTAAAAGCGACTGGGCCTGAGTTGTGAGACCATAAGCACAATATAATAAGAGTTATCGAATCGGGTCTTTACCCTTACCCAAGACTGTAGAACCTGGCTGTTCCATCGCTCAACTTCATCGACTCAATTCGGGGCCGGTGATGATGACGATATCGAGTGGCTTTTAACCTTCTTGGCCCAAGCCAGACCGCTTAGATGTCGAATAGGCAGGCTTTGAAGGCATCATAATCTCTACTTCGTATGGCCATGTAGAGCTTTTAAGGGCGAGACGTAAAAAGACGAAGTGTGGGACAATTGGCGATGGCAAATGAATACGACTTCTTCAACTTAGAGAAGCCCTACCGATAGGTGACACGTATGTGGTGCAAGATACCTGCATAAATCAACTTCAGCTGGATCCGATAAGCGCGCAAAGGGGACCGTTGGCATTTAGCCGCAGGATTCGTTGCTGACAGAATCCTACGAATTTGGGAGCGCATTGATGCATTTCATTTAGCAATCCGAGCGCTTGAAAACACCAATCGTCTATTATGCATAAGAATATCAATATATTATATTCTATAGGTAAGACTCGTCACGTATTCTGACGTGAAGGTAGGGGTATCTCTCAAGGTAAACGATTAAAAAGGAGGATTGGCCTTGACAAACCCAACGCCCAATCTTGCCCAGTCGTTCAAAATATTGAAGCATCCGTAAGCATCCGGCGCAATTAACATTATGATTTCTCGTCCCCAGCATTGTTGGATATGAAATCTGATATGGCCTCGAAGTATCCCTCCTCTAATACGCTGGAATTATGGTCGCCACCCGGCAACGGCTTCCATATCTTAGTGGGTGTAGTAGCTAATTCGTATAGTTTCCTCATGTGGGAGGGTCTAAGACGTGTGACGTTAGCCGACAAATCAGCTGAGCTCTTCAACTGAGACATGCCAAGCCTGCCGCGTGGAGGGGCTTTATATCAGGAACAATGCTTTAATCCGCGCTCCAAAGGGAGCTCAGGTTTTGTGGATGGTTGTTTTAAATCATCACATGGTTTTTGTCTTGTAGAAAAGATAATGGAACGAATATGGTTAACTTACGGGACGATCTCGTCTTGAAGGCCACTCAAGAACAATATGGGAACTTCTGTGATAGACGGCAAAATAGACTCGCTTGGCCAGACTTGGTGACACAACATAGTCAAATATTTCGCCGGAGGGATAACGGATGGAATCAATGATCGCATGGAGAGAAAGGTATTCTCCAATATCAAACCAACAATATCTCCCGCATGTTGGTTCTTCGATACCAACTTAATGCTGACGGCTCCTCCTAAACTTTGTCCGTATATAATAAGCTTGTGACTGCTTGTTTCGGCTCGACTTCGCAGATAATCTAGGGCGGTCTGGGCATCGATGGCGATCCCTTTCTCATCTGGCTCACCGGTCGATAAACCGTAGCCCCGATACTCGAGCATGAAGACATTACAGCCGATATAATTGATGAGCATGCGAGCTATGGGTAGCCGATGCCCGATATTGCCAGCATTCCCATGGAACATTAAAATAGTACATTTAGAGTGACGACCACCTCTCGGGCCGCGTATATAGAATGCCGATAGTTTCTCGCCATCGTTGGTAGGTATAACTAATTCTTCAAAATCCTTGATACCAAACTGCGAAGGTCGGGGTACATTAGTTCGAGCATTCGGGGGCATGTGAGACGGGTAGATTAGCGCTCTGTAAGGGAGGTGAGAGTAAGGTGGTTAGCTTTCTACGGCGGCAAACGATACACTGAGACTGGAGGACTGGAGGGATGGATAGTATACGACAGAACACCGGGCTGCTCACTTTTGCTTGAAGTATAATAGGGTGGTTAGAACGGCGGCAACACCCTGGGTGAGATTTGTTAGCTCGGTTGCGGCTCGGCATTGTCTGGCAATGGCGATTTGCGTGTTTCGACATGCTCGGAAGAACTTCGAAGAAGTAGACGAGGTGGATGCCGAAGACTGGAAAGAGGATGAGCGTGAAGGCATACCGTGGAGGCCAAAGCTGGCAAACGCATGTAAGCGGCCACGGTACAAAGGAGCGAGGCGGCCTGCTCCAGATAGCTCAGATGTGACGATGATGCTCCTGAAGGAGACATGGCCTAACCAAAGTAGCCCGGACTATTTGTTCTAGGAGAAAGAGAGAACGAAGGGAGATATGAAAGAAGTGCTTATACTATTATGTAAAGTACTAGCCAAAATACATGAAACGCACAAAATACAAAAGGAGTACCTAGGGGAAGCTTGCATTCGTTCGATTCGTTCGTGTGGAGCGGAGGGTCTTGACTCGCGGAATTGGGAATTTGGGAATTGATGACGGAAATATCGGGCAGGGGGGGGTTTTGTTGTTCGGTTGGGTCTTGAAAGTCTTGGAGGTGAAAGAACATCCAGTCATCTAACCCCAGGTAGTTAGAAAAATCTCAAACACCCACAAACAACGGGCGAGCCACGGTCGAGCTTGCCCGGGGATCGATTTTACCAGGTAGCGTAGCTGCGTAGGCAAACTTTAGTGCTAAGGTAACTAAATCTAGCATGGAAGCTTTCGCTAGCTTCAAAGTACATTATTACATACTAACCACTTCTTACCTAGACCTCAATTACCATTGAGTTTTAGACTTTTGAGGCGGTCCATTCATGGTTTGGCGGTCTCATCTTCACCTGACCTAACCTTTCAATGTTTTGTTCTCTCACTTTTTTCTTCTTCTTCTGGTCTTACGATCATTCTCGTGTACATAGTACCTAAGGTATCTCACGTAATTACCGATCTCTCTAAATGAGGTCGATCGTTTCCATGCTTGGCTACCTATCAATAACATGATCATAAACAGGGCAACTAAGTTTCATTGGAATAATATACGTCTTATGAATTCATTTTACTTACATACATAGAGTCTGGGCTAAATACTGTTGCATAATGATATTTATGGCCTATGATCACGAGACTGAATAATTATAGATCACAACTTACAAGCGCCAGGTCCCCCAATCTTAGCGTCTGCGACGGTTTTGGATTGATATAAACGACGCTAAGCCGGATCGCCATTGGTCAAAAGTTTCGATGCTATTTCATTTCTGGTCTACTCCTACATCTTTTATATAATACATAACTGCCTTGGGTTGGGTAGTATCAGTAAGATAGAGTATCAGTAAGAGAGTCGGCTCTTCTCGAATCTCGCCAGTTACCAACTTAGGAACGTCTTGTAGTGCTAAAACACGGGTCGACTTACCGACCTGCCTTGTTTGTATCGTTGCATGCATTGATCCTCCCAAATGACGAACGTTATGCGCGTCGGCTCTACTCTATCGACTCAAAAAGGCGTCAAGGAAAATGATGATATAGGTAGGTATAGAATAAGCAATTAAGACTACAATCAAGGCTATATGTCCTTGCCCTTGGGTACATGATATTGGGTGCAGATGTATGTATGTGCGTAAGGCATCTACCCGGGATGTAGGTACCTTACCTTAGCTACATGTACATACTAATGTATGCTATATGCTTGGCTATTGCATAAGCCAATCAACATGTTCGTTACTTCCAATGCTAAAGATCATCCTGGGCATTTTCGCAGCTTTAGCGCCTGTTGACAGCTGCTCCTCCAGCCCCTCTCGGTAACCAACCGACCCCCAATTGAGGAAGACCCGCAAGCGCATAACGCAACGGCGCCCAACGCGAAAAACTTCAATGAAATTTGCACATTTGCACACCCGAGTTCTTAAAAAAATATTATCACAAGAATCTCGTATCCCCCATTGTCGGGTCGCAAGATAATAATTCTTGTTGAGCTTTTTAGCCGAACTTGTTTACTCTTTTAAACTCGGTATACTCCGATTCTGTTCCTGGCCAACTTCGCCTCCAATTCCCTTAATTCCTTTTCCGCGATCCTGTAATAGATCAGCTTACAACCATTAAGCCATTACCCCGGACAAGATCGCTCGCCGTTCTAATAATAAAGAAAGCTTTGACTTGAGGCGTTGATTGACTGCCCAGCTAACATCGGCCTTGACTGGAACTTTGGTTTTCAGGATTCTGAATACCTACGTCCGGTTCTGTTTTCGCAGGCATTTATCACCATCTATCACCGGTGCTTGACACCACTGCTTGAGAAGAATCGTACTGGATTGTCCGATTGTCCGATTGTACGACTTGGTGTCTACGACGACGTTCTCGTGAGAAACATTAAGAAGAAACACTTGGAAGTGTATCGTTCCAACAAACTGTGACACCTTGCGCGGGGAAAAACACCACAATCCTGTCATACGGGCAAGGAACGCGCCGTCTATCATCACTACTATATCGTTCCCGAGTTGGAATTCCCAGATCCTGATCAGCCGGGTTCCTTTTTCGTCCTATCAGCGCAGGTTTCTTATCCGACTTCGCGCATTTGCACTTATCTGACGCTGCACTGCCATCTCTGCATCTCTGTATCTGCAGTCCCAAGGTCCTAAGAAAAAGAGGCAAAACAGAAAAATATCAACAAATTTACCACTCGACCACTCACAGTCAAGCTACACGCACGAAATCGTGCAGCTGCGCGCCAATCAGCATCTTACATATCTTACATATCCGACAGCACATCACATCTAGACCACTGAGAAACATGGTTTCCTTTTCGTGTGAGGTAATATTGCCAATTCTATCATTTTAACTCCCCCCCAAGCCCCCCCAAGGGCCCCCAGTGTGCCTGGAATCACAGCCCTTTGCCTATCACTGCCCGTCACGCTCAGCCCTCCCTTCTGGTTTCTTCTGGTGTTCTCTTTCGAGCAACACACGACGTTTCGCGTTGCGTTGCCCCCCTTTAGCCCTTCAGATCTTTCGCGCCATCCCTCCGATCACCATACATACACCATACATAGCCAATACATCACCTGGGCATTGACCATCCATCATCCTTCACACCCACTTACCCTTACCCCCTGTTTATATTTACCCCATAATATTGGAACCGCCTCTCCGTCTCGTCTCCTGATCGTGTCCACCCCTCTGCCCCTCCAACCAGATAAAACACACGCCCCCTGAAACCAATTGCGTTCTCTGTATCCCTCATCGCATCTTTTAAACCCACTGTCTCTTTACATTGTATTTTTATCCATCTAACTCGCCCTCTTCTCCCCACAGGCTTGCGGTGACGTTTTAACCAAAAAGAAACTCGACCCACACAGAAATCGTTGTTACGGCGCTTCCTTTACCTGCATTGATTGTATGGTACACTTCCCCGGAACTGAGTATCGCGCGCATAGTGTAGGTCGCAAGTCTATCTTCTAAATGAATACAAGCAAATCTAATCTGTATCTCTATTAGAGTTGCATGTCAGAAGAACAAAAATATCAAGGCTCTCTATACAAACCTAAGAGACAGAAATCCAACGGCGTCGAATCCTACGATAGAACTGAAACTATGGCTCATAATGCGTACGTCGAAGACGTGACGGAAGAGTACGAAGACTATCGGCAATATGAGGTTCACGACGGCGAAGACGGACACATAGGAACAATGCTGCCGCCGGAAGCTCCCACTCCTCCCCCTGCCGCCTCTGATGATCCTAATGTGAACGTCTTTGATTTCCTGGATACGCCAACTGTCTCTAATGTCAACCTACAATTTTACAACCCTGCACCACCCAGTGGCGGCCGGCAGCTCGTGCGCTTTGAGCAGACCACGGAAGATCACGTAGATTCGACAGGATATATGGTCGATGATGGTGCAATGGTCCATTATGGAAATGGCTCTATTCCCGCTAACGAGTTCGAGACACCAGCACCCAAGCTTCAGCGAAGGAAAACGAAGGATGGCGACGGAAAGAAGACTAAGAAACGTAAACAACTACATATCGAGACGCCTGGACCTTTGGCGCTGGAAGCGGCGCATGGCGACGAAGTAATGACTGATGCGCCACCTGTATTACACTCGGGCTTGACCGGCGGCTTGAACCGTATGATGCGCCCATCCCAATTCCCTCCATCGCCAGACTACTCCGGAGGTGACGGAGCCGAGAAATCACCAACGGCCCCTATTAGGAAGACAAAACACAAGTCCCACAAGACCAAATCTAGTCGGACAGATACAATTAGCGAAGGACTCAGGGCTTTCATAACGGGAACTTCAAAGTCGAAGGTGTCTAAGAAGCGGAAGCATTCATCAGATAAAGATAAGAATGAGAAGAAATCGAAACATCATCGATCGAGTTCCGAAAAAGCCCCAAAGCTAATCGAATATAAAACGAAATCAGGGGATGAGAAGGACGGAGAGTCGGGTCAGATGATTCTTTACCGACCGAGATCCGACCTGTTCCTGAGCCTGTGTAGCAAGGGCCCAGAAAGCGAACGAGGCTGCAGCGTGAACAAGGCTTTGAAGAGATTCCATCGCGAACGATCGGAGTCGGGTACCAGCTTGGGCAAGTCAGTGGAGGAGAAGGAGCTTTGGCGGTCATTACGTATGCGTCGTAATGAACGGGGAGAGATTGTCTTGTTCTCGGTTGAAGTCTGAGAATATGTATCGATCAAGAGGAAAAGAGCAATGGCGTTCTAATAGGCTTGTTTTCTGGGGAATTAATGTGATACCTACGTGCGGAATGGCGGTCTAAGGGAAAACGGAGAAGGGCGGACAATCTGGGATCTGTCGGTTTTCTGCATGGAAAACCTGGCCGCTTCTGAGCTGGTCTTGAAGCCTCATTATAGAGGAGGTCGTGTAAGGAATAACAGAGCGGGTCAGCTCGGATTGGTTATCGGCTTGTCATCACCACCTGTACGTTTCTCGGTTGTCCTTTTCGAATGTTTGAGTATGGGCACGCAGGTAATGTGGAGGATAAGAGGACGCAGAGGCTATTAGAATTTCCGATCACATGTAGACCATATCTATTGTCTCCAATATATGAACGTCGTTAAGTCTCTTGTTTTTTCATTATGATAAAACATCGCGATGCTATGTATGGTGTATTATTCCCTCCTGGCTATGACAAAAACTCGCCCCCTATCCATATTATATATACCTATGTACACGTCGTATCAAACAGCCCGTAGTGGTAGAATGTGTTGGACTAGAGCCTCGCGACGGCACAGCGGACACTCGGGTTTCTCGCGGACCCAGTCGCCGATGCAGGCCCAGCAGAAGACGTGACCGCACGGTGTGGCGGACGGGTCTTTGAGCTCCTCAAGACATAACGTGCATTTGCGCTGCTGCGTACCCTTGATCCAGCGCATACCCTTCTCATCGGATAAGTCGTATCGGGGGTTGCCGGTGCCTCCCGGCGGAGCTGGCGTGTGCGTCGCAGCCAAGACATCAATACGGGTCGCTGCTCCCTGGGAAGCGCCCGCGGCCGTTGCGAGGAGGAGCTCGTTATTAGAAGCGTAGGTATTGCCGTCGAGCGATACGGCGAGGATGCCGTCGGGCCTGGCGCGCTCGGAACTAGCGGGGGAAGAGGAAGAGGGTGTTGTTGCAGAAGCAAAGAAGGCGGTGCGCACATGCAGGTATCCTTGCACGGCCATCTGCACGGCCAGCAGCACGCCTAGCAGCTCGTACCCGGCGCGGTCGGACGACTCGCCCACCTTGCGCGTGAAGACGTAGCGCAGGCCGGCGACCCGCTTCGCGAGCTCGTAGTACGACCCGCCGAAGTAGAACAGCGCGAGGCTGACGGCGTGGACGTGGGACTCGGAGGTTAGCGAGGGGAGGTGCGTGAGGAGGTACGCTTGCAGCTTGTAAGACCAGGTCTGCTGCTGCTGTCGGGATTTCAGCAGAGCGTTGTTGATCTCGTCGGCGCTCACCGCCGCCGTCGTCGACGAGAGTCCTAGGTTCTGCTGCAGGCGCGCGCGGATGCGAGCGCGGATCCTGGGCAGGAGGCGGGATAGGCCGTAGGGCGCGAGGATGCTCCCGGCGATGTAGAGGGCGCGGCGGCTCAGCGCGGGCAGAGCGCCCGTGTCGGATTCGACCTGGACTAGGCCGCAGTACTCCTCGCCTAGGGTGCGGTTGCCGATGAGGGTTGTGAGAGAGAGGTAGAGGAGGTCGGCGAGGGTGCGGGACTCGGGGGCCCAGGCGTGGGCGGAGCGGGCGCCGAGGAGGTGTCGGTGCAGGTCGGCGATTTGGTTCGTGAGAAGGCCTTGGAAGTAGGCGTCTTTTTGGTGTGCGCGGATTATGTCGGGGGCGAAAGCGTAGGGGTATGGGGAGGATGGTGACGATGATGTCGGCGGTTCTGATGAGGAGGGAGAGGAGGATGGGATGTTGGAGGGTGGTGGTGGCGCTGTGTCGGTGGCCATTGTGGTGCAAGTGTTATAGGATGTTTACCGTCGTGATAGCATATCAATAGAGATTTAAAGAGCCTTTAGGGTATTAAATTAAATCAAATCAAATTATCTCTTCGGTATCAGGGGTAAGTAATATAACCTGTTGTCCTGCGTGTTTGTAAAAGTAGTTGTTGTTATTGTTGAAGCTGTGAAGTTCGAAAAGCAAACGAAGCTACCACCAATATGCGATGCACTGCACCTGCAAGTCCATATGTATCTGAACCTCGGCGATTGGATAACTAACCGTTCTTACCTCTCTACTAAGTACCTACGTACCATAGGCTAGCCGGCCAGGGGTTTCGGCTGCTCCAACGCTAGCGCGGCAGGGATCCACGGTACTTTGTCTCATGTACCTACTAGGTGACGCGCCAAGGTGACGTCGCCAATATACTAGGTTACATAATTTCAATTAAAAAAACAAAAAAGAAAACGGTAATTGGTATCTGGCATGTACGAATATCCGACCCTTATCTATTAACAATTGACAGAACACCGTCCCACCCCACGAACGAGATACATATTCACGACTTCGAGATCTAACCAATTCGAATTCGTTACGAAGCAGGGTCTCGATGCTAGGTTCTCGGAGTCGGCAGCGCCATGGACGGTGATCCAGCAGTCGAACCGGAGCTCGACTCCTTCAGCTTGACGTTTCCCTTGCCGTACCGCGTCGCCTTCATAATCGTACTAGGTGCGTTGCGTATTCCCCCCCTTCCCTCCCTCCATCGTATGTATTCTCCGCCAATTCGACAACTAACTAACATCCGCAAACAGCGGTCTGGGCTTGGGGCATCAACCTGCACTACCTATACCTATCCGGCATCGACGTGCCCTCGCTGATCCGGTACCCGGGCCGGTCCTCGCCGCACCACCCGACGCACCACCTGTCCACCTACCGCCTCGCCACCGTGCTCTCCGCCGTCTTCGCCTTCGCCCTGCTCGTCTTCTGGGCCTTTACCCACCGCGACCCGGACCTGGTGCTAGCCTGGGACTGGCTCCCGCTGCTGTACCTCGCCGTGCTCATCGGCATCCTCGTCTTCGCGCCCTTCTTCAAGTCGCTATCGCACGGCGGGCGCGCGCGCCTACGCGCCACGCTCCGCCGTATTAGCGTCGGCGGGCTCGCCGAGGCCAAGGATGGCAAGTTTGGCGATATTCTGCTGGCTGATGTGCTGACGAGCTACGCCAAGGTCTTCGCGGACTTGTACGTTGCGCTATGTATGCTCTTCCGGAGCGAAGGCAGCGCGACTGCGCGTCCGGACCGAGGTTGCGGAGGCACTTTCATGGTGCCGCTTGTCATGGCGGTGCCTTCGCTTATCCGTCTGCGCCAGTGCCTCATCGAGTACGGCCGAGTACGGCGCGGGCGTATCACCGAGTCCACGGGCTGGGGCGGCCAGCATCTGGCCAACGCGCTCAAGTATTTCACCGCGTTCCCCGTCATCATCTTCAGCACGTTACAGCGGAACTCTACAGGCGGGCAACCTCCGCCCATTGGTTACTACCGGGCGTGGATTGTAGCCTGCGTCGTCAACTCTTTGTATAGTTTCTACTGGGACGTAGCTAAGGATTGGGACTTAACACTATTCGACGCAAAAGCGAGGAACGCGCCGGACTTGACGGCGTTCGGCCTACGGCGGCGTCTGCATGTCGGGCCACCGGCGTTGTACTACGCCGTCATTGCGATGGATCTGGTGCTGCGGTGCACGTGGAGTTTAAAGCTAAGCCCGCATCTAGGTCGGATGGCTGACTGGGAGGGATCCATCTTCGTGATTGAGTTGCTCGAAGTTTTCCGTCGATGGGTGTGGATATTCTTCCGTGTCGAGACCGAATGGATTCGTAATACGAACGTCGCCGGTCCTGGTGTTGACGACGTCCTACTTCCAGACTACCACAATAACAATATCCAAGGCCCCAGGTACCAAGATGACGACTAGGAGTGGAGCATCGAGCGAGGGTGGTCACGATAGAGGATTAGAAGAGAAGTCTATTGAAATATATTAGAAGGGGTACTACGGAGGGATGTCTTCACGTTATAAGAATCATGAGAATAGAATAGGGGGTGTGTATATCTGTTCTATATATGCTCACGTGTCGGCGTCATAATTGCATAGCAGGCGTTGTTTGTTAGACTAGGTACGGTCAAGCAGGCTGTTGATTACCAGCTAATATAATCTTTGGAAGCGTACCTAAAGTATATATATAGTAAACCTCCCTGGGGCTATTATTGACGGATTTTCTAGATGTAAATGTAAATAGGTACCTGTTAACCCACTAAATATTTATCTTTAAAGACTATGTACGTTCATTGCACGGCATATGACGAGTTCCACAACGGGGTTATGTCAGCTTTCTACCAAACATCGTTGCTCAATATCGATGCATTGCATTTCTTTAAGCTACTGGTTTCAATTATTCGTTTTGAATTCATCAGATGCGCACATGCGACTACCTACAGTTCGGTAGGCTATAAAACAACTGCCCCGTGGTATCCAGTTCTTCCCGTCCCTTTTTCCCATGCGATGGTTTGATATAAGTACACGTACGCCAAAAGCACCGCAAGCGCCAAGGCTATGCTCTTCCCAGTTACATATCCAATGCGACTAGTGACCCAGTGGAAATTCGAGAGGAAGAAGTAACAATAGATATAGACAGCCAGAATGCTAATCCCAGCAACCGTCGACGGCCGCCACGGTATTCTATACTATAGAAACGACGCGAACCACGGCCGTTTTACGGTAGTAGGCTGCTTTAGTTTATTCAGACAGTACGAGCCATAATTCCTCGGCGATGGCCCGGGACACTCGCAACGGCACCCGATACCGTTATCTTCCTCCGCCGCCCACGTTCCGCTCCCCAATAGCTGTGACTCGGGGAGTTGTCCGCCTGGCGCGTTGGCCGGACATTGATATAGGAGAGCATGTCGATATCCGAAATCCTCGAAATGGTGTACCTTTCGCGGATCTGCAAGCATTGCTATGGCAAGAGAGTGCACTGCCGCATCACCCCACTATGACACTGTTAGTTTGATTGTCTTGAATTTAGTATTAATATCAAAGATTCCATTGTACCACTCACCCGCTCAAAGTAAAAGCCTCCCTTCTTATCTAGATAGTCGAAGAGGTCCTGGTACGCCCTTGTTCGGAAGAAATCCATATCGGCGATCTCGAAGTTGCTCCAGTAGTGGCACAGACTCCACCCATCACCATACGCATCGCGATTCGGCAGCCAGCTCATGAATCGCCGGAATGGGTACGGCATCCATGAAGCTGATACCGTAGCCTTCCAGAGGCTAGTCGTGGGAATACCCATCATCTCCTTCCAGTCGGCGATCGAGCGGTATAAACCCGGGCACGACTTTCCCACTTCCCATAACGCAATCGTAAACCCGTAGACCTTTTTATGTCGTGCCATCTGTACAAAGGGATCGTACGTAATCGCGCAGGTAAAATCGACGTCGGGTTCGAGCCGCCAATACCACTTGTACTTCTTCAGCACATCGAGCTGATAAAATTTGCTTTTAAGGTTCGTCAGTTCGGATGGTTGTTATAAATGCGCCATACGCTACGTCCGTAACCCTCCTCTCTGCATGGGACGAAAACTTACCCCGAATAAAAGCGACACATATGGTGGTACCCTTCTTCCCCAGCATGCGGAATACCCCTTTCTCCTTGCTCCTTAATATTTAGCTTCGCCGCATCTATATCTACACCTTCGGGGAACGTCCATTGCGCCTGCGGTATAACATCAAAGGTGGCTAGTCCTCGGGCAGTTTTATTTAGAACCTCTATGAAGTCGGGATCCCATTTCTCATCGTTTAGGAATACGTAAGGATAGTTGAACCACCTGTTGAATTGCTGTTCTATCGAGGTAACCGTCCTGTTGGCCTTCTCTAGTTCATTATTCCGCGCAAGCATTACTAAGGCCGCATTTTCTCGTTTTGCGCTGACGTCGGGCTCCTGGCACGAGGTGAAAAAGGGTGCATCGAGCTCGCTCGCCGGTCGTGGCACGCTATATTGCCATTGGTGTACGACAACTTCGAAAATAAAAGGCCCAGCGACAGTAAGTACCAGCCAAAGTGGCAGTCGTCGTGCGGGACGGATAATCCGTCGTAACATGGTACGGGTTCTGTCCTCGTGCCCTTCTCAGATCATGGTCCAGGTGTGTTTTCCTGCAAATTCGAGGAAAACGTCGGGGAAATGATATCGATAGCTAGGATGGGATCGATTGGACTATGACAAATGATAAATTAAAATAATGCAGGGGGACGAGAGAAAGGGGAGAAGGGTCCTCAGCATGTAAAAAGACCGTGTAAAAGAAGGCAGCAAAAAGGCAATAAAATCCACAGGCGCGCCTGATAAAGTCTGCAAGCTGTGATTTTCCAACTTTCCAACCGATTAGGACTGATTACCTCCAGGCTGCAGGCTGCAGGTTGCAGGCTCGGGGTTAAGCCTCTGCGGCACAGAAAGCTGAGAGGTGCCAGGAAGATGGACTGGCTGGCTTAGATGCTGGATGAATGGCAGATGGCAATTGGTAGTGAGGCTGAGCCGCAACAAAATTGGATGGGGATGCAACACAAAGCGTGGAGAATTAAGTAAAAATAGGAGAAATCCTTCATTTTAATGAGCCACGGTCCTTATATTATGGTCTTATGGTTTTGTCACCAAAATCCAATTGTCGGTGAGTGATAGTAGATGGGATTTGCCCACCGTCAGCGTTAGTACTACATTCTCTTTTTTGTTGCGAATTTGAATGTTGTCGAGGTTTTGGTTTGAATTGGTTTTTGTTTGGTTTGGTTTGGTTTCTCTCGCCTTGTGTGAGATTCCAATGTTGAATGGAAGGCATTGAATACATTGGTGTATGTACTACCTAGGTACCTATCTACATGCACTTTAGCTTGCGTACCTCACGTATGTACCTACCTCCTAAAGTACCTCCTACCTCTAAATGAGGTATGCAACTTCCAAGGTCGGTATTCAAAGTGCGATACAATCGCGATTGCCTACAGGACGAACTGATTAGTACGGTACCTAAAACTTTATGTAGGTACATAGCCTAGCCTAAGGTATTGTACATGTCTAAAATGCTTGCAATATCCGTAAGGCAGTAGTACATACCTACAAATACCCCAAGTACTTGATGACTAACGCTATGATCCGAAAGTTCAAGCAGACTTCGGATGATACCTGGAAGCCGAGCCCAAGCCATGTGCGGAATACCCGGACTCCGATTGATACGTAAGGAGGTATGCAGCCCCCACCTTTGCCGAACTGCCCGCGATTTAACTCTAGCTTACCTTTAATAAACTGTAAACCCATCTTTCAACATAACATCACTCTTATAGCTCTATCAGAGGTCAAACATATCTATTGATTTAAAACCCAATGGACTTCGTCAACCACCGTGTGGCCCAAGAGGCCGCTAAAGACCCCTCTGAGATCTAGTATGTCCCTACTACCACTTTATTTATCACCGGAATCCAAGCTAACAAAGCTATCGCAGCACCGGCCTCGTCACGCCACTCAATGTCATCCTCCTCCTCATCACCCTGTACACGACGTACCTACTCTATAAGCCCTCCCCTCCGGTATCCTTTCCGCGCGAGCCGCCTGCCATCGTCTTCCGGACCTTCACCCCACGCACCCTGCTACACTTCAACGGAGAGGACGGCAAGCCGGTGTACCTAGCGGTGCGCGGCCGCGTCTTCGACGTCACGAGCGGCCGTAACTTCTACGGTCCCGGTGGCCCCTACGAGAACTTCGCCGGTCGCGATGCTTCGCGCGGCCTTGCGTTCCATAGCTTCGACGAGGAGATGCTGACTAAGGACCTCGATGGACCTCTGGATAAACTCGAGGGCCTTGGACCCGAGGAGTGGGAGAGCTTGCAGGGCTGGGAAGAGAGATTCAACAGCAAGTACATGGTTGTTGGAAAACTGGTTGCTGCGGCTGATGCGTAAAACGGTCTCGACGAACCCGCCGAGGGTACATCGGATAGGATGAATTATGGTAATGTTCTGAAGCGCTTGGTCTTTTATTTACGGCTAGTATTGGCTGCTATTACTATCTACTGATGGAGAATAAAGGATTTTTATCTACGAAGGCGCTCGATTGAGACCCAGTCCATGCGGATATTAATTTACTTTAATCATTTGCATGCATCGAAAGCTGCTGCATTTCTTAATATGTATTATGGTAAATCATAAGATCCGACGTCTTGTTATAAGGCAATTCTATTTTGTAAGGCGATATAATCGTTAGCCAGTATTCTTCGACTCGTGTGCAATAGAATTCTCTTTTCCGGTTGTATTCCATATTTGAGTTCCGTCAACGTAATTGGATATAACGTAAAAGGTAGGTACCTTAGGTGTTCGTTGGATTCTAGTCTTATGGCTGTTACACTGTAAGTTATCCACCGCCAGATGTACGTTAGTATGTTAGTCTGCAATAGATGTTTGCTTGTTGCCTCGTTCTTCGCGCCCGGCAATTCTCATACCTCCAATAGTCTCTTTCCTGGCCAGTTTTACTACCTTGATGCGTTTCCACCGCCCACGATTCCAAGGCAGAAAAGAAGTTGGAAACACACGTACTATATCTCAACAGAACTAGGTACTGCCTTCGTCCAGAGATATCCTCTCCTATTAGTACTTTCTACTTGAAGAAAAATACGACTTAAGTCATGTTTACCATGGCATCTTTGCTTGTTCTTATCATACTGTCCCTCATTTCGCAGGCAGCTACCTACCCTACGGGGGCTACCAATGTTGGCACTTCAAACTTTACGTCTCTTACCGATGGCTTCTGGTCTACAAATCTTCCGAATGATACTGTCGTATTCAACAATGTGACAGCAGGCGATGAACGTGTAAGTTGGCTGAACAGCTGACCCCTATTCCATCCAATTTTATACTACCCCTTTAGCATGTCACTACACTTCCCTTTCTTAAATTACAGCAAATTCTAATAAAACCAACCAGTTCAACGAGCATTGGCAATACGACAATCTTGATGAATGCAAATGGGTCATGAGCTATATCCCCGTCGTCAGTTCCGAGTGCACAGAGTATTGCGAGGCCGATACCTACAACTGGGGCAAAAAATACCACCGCCTCCGCTACCATATGTAAGATGCCATGATAGTCCCATGTTTTCCATAAAAGCTTCCAATACTAACACTCCCTAAATCAATTTAGCAAGCTTTCCGGGAATGGCCAAAGCCCCCACATCTGGTGTGACAACTTCAAGGCGAGAATGATGCGCAACTGTGCTGTCCGGGAACCCGACTTCTTCAACTGCAATACCGGCAGAGCTCCGGCGTTACCCGGGCTTGATAGCTGGGCTGCCACACCCGCTGGAGTTGTGGCAATGCCCGGAATCAACCTCAGATTCGACTTCAGCCCAGATTGGAACCCTCGTGATGCACAACACGACTGTGTCAGATCGGCTATCCGTGAAGCAACTTGCGCCGGGACGGTGTTCACCAACGGTCTCAGATGCATTCCTGTGTTGTATAAGTCTCCGAATGCTGGTGCTGTAAGTGGAAGATCCTTGCGCATAAGCAATGTCTTGATACTGACCTTGCAATATTATCTTCAGGCCGAGTTTGACGAGTCATACGTACCACCTAATTCACGATGTCTTTATAACTATGAGGTTCCGGAAGAGGCAACATGAACGAGGCTAGCGGAATAATAAAGTGATCGTATCCAAATTGATCACTATGCTTGCTGTAGTTAGGTACCTATGAATGCTATTCTCAGGTAATGGTTCAATGCAGTTTTCCTTTTGCGATATCTTATGCCGGACAATGAATTAATAATGAATGACCTAACACAATAGCAATTCAACGTAGATTAATCCATCGATCCTAATTATAAATAAAATACTGTAGAGTAAGAGGTATATATTGAGTACCTAAAACAATTACCTAGAGTTAGTGAAACCCATTCATAGGAATAGTATATGTTGACCGTATAAGGGGGTAATTTCTAGTATTTTATCACCTCTCGATGTTGTTAAGGATCATCGTTAATACGAGAGATGTTGTCGTGATATGTGGTTACAATTTTCAATATCTATGCCCAGGGGTGAATTCCCACGGATGAAGCCAATAGATTGAGACCCCTTATATTAACTCCCGTAAATGTCTTATCTTTTTCATAGCGTGCCAGATTCCTAATTTTAATGACTTCAAAAGGCAAGCAGTATGAATAATTTCCATGTTGCCTATTTGGAAATTAGTTGTTAGCTATATCTGTGGCCTCGTTGGTGATCTAATGTGATATGAATCATGGGCTGATACGAGGAAATTGTATTCCCAGTTATATGCAGTTAGTTATATGGAGCTACACCAACCTAATAACCTTCGCAAAACTCCGCGGTCCAATTAGGAGCCACCCGCCTGCGATTCTCTTAGACTATTTAGCCGGCTAACTGTAGATATCAAAATGTCATCGATTTTCATAGTAAGACGATTCCACGTGATCGGATGTAATTACCTATAACAACATCTCTATACCAAATAGGTAGGTAATAGGTAGGTACGTGTTGGTGTTCTTTATTTAGGTAGTTGTTCACCAATAGGTTGGTCTGGACTTGGCTAGCGACTGAACATTCGATGTCGACTAGTTTCTGATTTATGCAGTTGGTGTATTGTCCCATCCCGATTCCCGAATCTGAATCCTATTTGTAAAATCCACGGCGCTATTTAAACCATCCACTCCTCCTCATTTTCGGATGCATTCGAAGTTATCAGGATATTTATCTAAGGTCTTCGATCACTCTCATAACATGGCCAATCACGACGAGCCCACGCCCGCGCCTGTCACTGCCTCTCCCACTGCTTCTCCCGCCGCTGCTGATGCTCCCATGTCTCTGAAGCCAGCGGCGACGACTTCAGATGAACAAACTACAGTTAGAAAAACTACATCGGCTGGGTCCGCTAGCCCTACGGAACGCCCAACGCCTTATATAGTACCAGGATGGACAGATGAGCCAATTGAGGCTGCTCCACATGTAAGAAGATCCGACATATTCAAGGTCACCAGTTTTAAGGAGAGTTGTAGCGCATACAGTTGACTAATAATTATCTATAAGGAGGAGGGTGTTGATGATTATGATGATGCGGATTCTGCTCTAGGAGAAGGTGATAAGTAAGAAATGCCATTTCTTAATAAGGATGCTATGTCGAAGCTGGTATAATCACAATGGGATAAAAACAAGTCTAACAAGAAGCGATAGTGCGAGTTCGACAGCATCCCTGACTGAAAGTATTCTCGAATATCGCACACTCAACGGTCGTACGTATAATAGCGGCAAGCATGGAGCTGATAAGTACTGGGGGCCCAACGATGAGCGGCAAAATGAAGCTATGGACATGAAGTGAGCCTCAATAATCTGAAGCGACTTGAATCTTCTAATAACTCCTCAGCCATCATTTCATGACCCTTTGTCTCGGCGGCAATCTTTTCCTGGCACCTCTAAAGAATGATATAGAAGTGAGCATACAGATCTGTCTTAGCAAGACTTAAGCTAAAACTCTACAGCTAGTACTTGATATCGGTACTGGAACAGGTGAATTAACCCTCAAACTTAAACCTTGGCTCATTGCTGACCAACTTTTCAGGGTTATGGCCAATGTAATCAAATCGTACTATGTCATATCGTAGGTATTCGGAAAAACTAACAAGGCCGTAGTGATATGGGAGACGAATACCCGAACTGTCAGATTATTGGAACGGATTTATCACCGATCCAACCAACCTGGTGCCCACCTAACGTCAAATTCGAAATCGACGACCTGGAGAAAGAATGGACATATGCCCCTAACAGCTTCGACTATATACATATCCGGTACATGGTAGGCAGCGTGTCGGATTGGCCGAAGTTATTCAGGCAAGCATTCAAAGCGCTCAAACCCGGCGGATGGATCGAGAGCTTCGAAGTCGAGGCCGACTACCGTAGCGACGATGGCACCTTAAAACCCGACTCGGCTATGATTATGTGGCGTGACTTGTTTACCGAAGGCGGCAAGAAGCTAGGCCTCTCGTTTACTCTTCTCTCGGATGATGTTCAGAGGAAAGGGATTGAAGACGCTGGTTTCGTAGACTTGACGGTCAAGGATATTAAGGTGCGTGGTTTAACATTGCTGAGTTTAGGCCATCCAGCTTTTCTAATCATATCATAGGTACCTATGGGTCCTTGGCCGGCAGATCCGAAGTTGAAGGAGATTGGACAATGGGCTCAATATACTCTTGAGCAGGACCTAGAGGGTGAGTGACCTCTTCCTACTTGGCTACCCGTCTGGCAAACCCGTTAGAAACTAACGTATCCTCATAGGTTTCGTCATGTTTATGTGGAACACGGTCCTAGGCCGCTCCTTAGAGGAAATGCAAGTATTCCTCGCGGCTTTCCGTAAGGAATTACGGTCCAGCAGGACGATTCACGCATATCTGCCACAGCGAGTTGTGTATGCGCGAAAGCCAGAGGCTGCGTAGATAAACTCTCGGGAACAATGATTGATGAAGCAACTTTATGACAATATCTTGTATATTTATCTGATAATAGCGTTGGAAATTCTTACAAAAAAGCGGATGATGCTCAAAATTTTCAACTGGTAATAGCTTTAACGATACTTTGGTATGTACAAGACTTAGTTAACTTACATAGAAACTATCTGTAGTCATAAATAGCACGTGGTCTGTTGCTTTTCTCTTTCAGTTGCTGGAGAGCCTATTAGGGTAGGTATATGATATATCTATCGTATAGTTTGCTTATAGAGATCCCTGTTTCCGTTCGGTTCTCCGAAGTATGGCTCGGACTACGGAGTTACTTGGACCACCTAAAATAACTATCACCTTATAATCATCTCAGACCTTTCATAATTATAGCTTTTAGAGCCGATAAGTTAGGAGGTAGGTAGCTAAGGTACCTATATATACTCTTTCAACTTTCTAATAACTACATACAGTAAGAGTTTAGTATTTAAGTCTTTTCTCTATCCAGTTACCCACTCTCTCTCCAGGTATATCTCCGGAATTAGTAGATGTTTCTCATGGTTATTCCAAATGAATATTTCAACTGGTGACTAAAGTGTTCATCACACTTATACCTCCCAATACTACAATCAATCCCCAATGAATAACTCTAGTTTCGGATCTCCGCGTGCTATCGCTCGTTGACGGTCCGGCAGCACCGTTTGCAAACTGTACGAAGAAATTATTTGTTAAGCCCGCAGGCGTGCATATCGTCCCTGCAGCACAGTCCATCACGGCGCTCCACTGTCCAGCCGCGCAGCGTTGCCACTGGTTTGTAAGGCAGTTCCATTGACCCTCGGACCCTTCACACGATGATCCCTCTGACATTTGCCGTTTCTCAATCGTGGCGTTGCCATATCCATTTCTGGAGTTTCTTATTTCCGGCTGGTGTGTAAAATCCGAAACTGACGGCAGTGGCTTCGTGGGTGATGCTAACGCTAGCGGCGATGCGAGGACTAACGGCGTTAACAAGTGTAACATGATCATGGGTAATAAGATCATTATGGATCTGGTGTATCTTTCTCGAGAAGGCATCGTGATGCGGAGGAGGCAAGTAAGGGATTCGAAGGCGAGATCACTGTTCTATAATGGTGTGTTTGGAACTATGAATATGGATTGAGCATTATATAAAATATCTATAGCTTCTGTTTCTACGGAATTGTTGCGATTGCTTTTATACGCTTTGCCGTTGTGCTTGTTCACCGCTGTATTACGTGGCTTCTAATCGGCACCGCTGCCCAATCCAAACGTGGGCGTATTCAATTGGCGAAGAAGCCTCTAAGAAATCTAATTGCGATAAATCTAATTTCGCTTTATCTAGGTTTTTAGAATGTAATTATGGATAAAAAGAGAATCGAATTTAAGTCTTCATGCGATCCCGACTGCGGTGCGCGCATAATATATTCACTTAACTACCATAGCGGAGGGGGGGGGTTACTCAAAACCATTTTAAAAATTCAAAACGTTCTATATATTAGGACTATTTTATAAAGAGTTTTCGTTTTTAACGTTAAAATTGTTCTAATATTAAAACCGTTTTATAAAATAAAACGTTCTTAAATTTAAAACTTTTAATTGATTTAATTTTTAATATAAATAAGGCTAAAATTAAAAAATTTTAAAAAAATAAAATAATTAATCTTTAAACTTAAAACTTACGCGTTTATATAATTTTATACCTTATAATAAAATATAAGGTTTAAGGTTTAAACGTTTAAATTAATGAAACGAAATAATTAATCTTATCAAATTATTTCAAAAATTTAATTAATTTTTACCTTTATAAACTTTACTTTTAAAAAAATAAAATTTTAACTTAAAAAAAAAAAAAATTTTTTTTAAAATTTTTTTTAATAAAAATAATTTTAAAATTTAAGAATACTTTTTTAAATAAAACAGTTTTAATTAAATAAAACGGTTTTAATTAAATAATATTTAAAAAACGGGTTAAGGTTTTATTTTACCTGAAATCTAACCAATTAAAAACTTTAAAATTTAAAAACGTTTTATTTTATAAAATGGTTCCAATATTAGAACGGTTTCGCGAAACCTCCTTCCTCCGGTATAGTACCTAACCTAACCTTAGGTACTTACTATTGGAGAAATATTAACGAGGCTAAATGAATTCACTGGGTAGAGGTAGCTATTGGTCCTTCACATGATGAGGATATACTTCGTATTGATTCCAAATAGAACAATCTTAATAGATATCTCTTTGTGAATCGCCTAGACCCGGCTCTGGATCTAGTTTATTGCGTTGCTTTCTTCCGGAGAAGCGAAGTGCTCCTTTGGATGTTGTACTATTGACGGTGGAAGTCTGACGCCTGAGCTAGACGCCAGTGATACCGGCACACATATGCAGACACCAGATACGGACATTTGTATGTGTTAGATCATACAACAACTACCTAAGACATAATAAATTAGAGAAGCCTACCTCACAGCATTGTTAGTTGAGGCAGGAATGTGGCAGGTTAGAATTCAGTCATTATCTAGTCTGGTGGTACGGAGCCCGTCGAGTCATCGTTGTGGCTAGAAGTATTACCCCCAACGAGCTCGGCAGCGTTTATTCTAGATAGACTTTCCATGAATTACATATGCAGCTGAGATTATAGGTAATTTAATATTAAACTAGACTATTAGGAGGTGCCTGCTTATGAAGATTATTTTCGTGACTATAAACAGCATAATGGCTCGTTCTTTGACTACCATCTCTTAGCCTTGACTTGGGCATTAAAACGATTGGACTACACCAGATTGCTGCTGCTTGAGGGCCAGTAGATCATTAACCTATAAGTTGATATTAACTCTAAGTTTCATTTATTTTCCTACGTGCACACACCGGCCTGGTACCTCTCTGCTTTGATCGTCGACGATTTGGAAAATAGGCATCTCCATGGTCCCTCTTAGCCACTAGCTGGCTTGTAATCCCAACTTGGGAGAATGAATAAGAAAGTTAAATAGTATTGATTTACCTCATATGTTTACACTGAGACCGTTGCTGACATTTGCCGTCTCATCCCCACCGGACCGGACCGCCTTTTGTAGTACAAGGGCCGTTTTACGGTGGGACCGGGCAATTTTTCCTCAAACGGAGCCGCCGAAAACATGGGGCACATATTGGTACTGCGCTGAAAAACGCCGGGTTTCATCCGCTTACACCTCCCTTAGGTTTTTGTTTACCCTTGCCATGACTTGTTGCTGTCTAGTGTTAACTAGTATGCCGGTATTATATTGTGAGCCAATACCGATCCACCCTCAATAGCATGGGGTCCTCACTCTTGACCCTTGTCGACGATACTGGCTCTTCCCCGTGCTTTTTTACCTATTAGACAGACCCTTTGGGAGCAAATAGCTGCGATGTCTAATTCGGCGTGGGATATACCTGCCCGCCATTCGGAATCTCATTGATTCTCAATCTCTGTCTCATGAACATGTTTGGACTATACAGGGATTTATCCTAGACATACCATACACGCCCTGCACATGCAGACACTGCCACTCATTACTGTCACTACCTAACGGTTTTCTGATCTATGTAGGTAGGTATGTTTCTGCGCTAGGACCCCAACTAAGTGCGCTGCAAATAGATATGGCTTTGACCTGCTCACCAGGCACTTATTTATATGGTATTACGGCTTGATTCTGATTAGAGCCCTCACTGTCGGTGTCACGAGGTGGAACTAAACAGCATGGAAACAACTTCGTTGTTCCGCCAGGAACTCCAACCTATCTGGCGAGCCCATGGCTCGTATATACATACATGTTCTTTGTTCTAGATGTCTCATCTAGAATCCTGACACAGGCTGTAAGTAGACGTTGCTTCGCTGGGCCTATAAACAACATTCGCTACCTAATAATGATCTTGAAATGTACTCGAAGAAGCTTTGTAAGGAAAATATGAACCCACGTGTTGAATTGTGCGTGCTAAATGGGGTAGACCGGCGCACTCTTGAATAGGGGTTAGGGGTTGGGGGGGGGTCAGGAATGCGTTACGGCTCCACTCGGCTGCCCCTGAGCACCAGTTCTCGCTGGCAAAAACCACACAGTCCTTCCATTCCTTTCATAGCAACGCTTCATCAAGTAATTGGATCTTAGCTGTAAAGTTAGGTAAAAACATATTATTATCCACCAGTAATCCAGCAGCGTGCGAATGCCAAGGGGCTGGTAACGGAGCCTTGATTCCAGGGGGACATCCACGCTTGAAAATGGGTTGAATACGTTACGCAGCAGACTTATCTCTGGGGTAAACGACTGTATGTCATTTGCTTACTCGCCTCAAGTCATATAAGGGCAAATGCTTATTTTATTCCACCCATGAAAATGGGAGGGCTACCGTGAGGATTCAGACGATATTAGGAACCCCTCTATGTTTTAAGTACTTAATAGCGGTATTGTAATGCAATTCGTGAAATACACCGTGCATCTAGGTAGTAGAGAGAGGAATACTAGTCAAGCTAGCAAGATTAAGAGTAAAATAGTCCTTTGGTTCTCGCCTTCAGTCTTGAACGGGTAGTAGGTAAGTGTCTGTCCATCATGCATAGATTAACATCTCCCATATATCCTTCGATCGCCGATTTAGATGAGAGTTGAGACGTAATCGGAGCCTATTGCTACCCTGCCCACCTATACAAAGATACGCATATTTGTTGCACAACAGCATACTAATCATGATCTTAGAATGAAACGTAGCACATATTGGGCCTTAATTTTTATTAAGCATCGCGCTTTGAACTTCATCGGCAACTATACGTCGCTCCGGGCGGGTAAAGAGAAGTAAACGTATTTTTCTGGTTTGGTATTTCAAAAGCTAATCAATTGGTTTCGGTGTTTTCGCAATGAGGATATCTGGACCGGATGTCACATCCACGACGCTGTGTAATTACCGAAGAGTGCCTCTTTTCCACTTCCGCGTCTCACAAGTATACGGCATAGGAGCACGCATGATTTCTAACTATAGGGTGCATTGGGATGGATATAATGTTCAAATAACTCATATCCTTAGATCCAATTGGATCTTCCCGGCCCTTGCCGTTTTGAAGCCCATTCGTTAGGTATGAGGTAGAAATTGACGAAGCGGAATGAGGTCAATACATTGTCGTGATACCTGAGAGTAGGGGCCAAGGCGAGCGATTCGGCTTGCTGCTCTTGGACCTTTTGGGTTTCTAAGCTTCAGTGCATGGACTTACAGATTTGTGCCTAAGCGCTTATTCTAGTGTATTACTTATAGGGGGTACGCATCATGAGGCTCATACTAGCCTTCAGTCAGAATCACTGAATCTATCAACTTTATCACTGCTCTGGATATATTCAATTCCATCAAATCCGTCGTTATTAAGGGCGTTTCTTAGCAATATGGAGCATCCTTCAAACGCAAACAGCGATAAGGGTGGGGGGCTCGAGCATATCGAGCCGGTAACAGATGAAGTTTCATTGGAAAGAGCCAATGTGAAGACCGACGACTTTGGCGGAAATATTGATAGTGATGTAGCGGAAAAGAGACTCGTCAGGAAGTTGGATCTATATATTCTTGTAAGGTGGTGTTCTCACAGTCTCCTCGCTCAAGTTACTGATTGTTAATCTTGTGATAGCCTGTTCCTTGGTTCATGCTCTTCTTCAACTTCCTGGATCGAAGTACGATAGTGAATGGCAAGCTCGACGGGTTGGACAAGCAGTTACATATGAAAGGATATCAGTATAACACCTGCGTAGCAATATTCTCCGTTGGCTATATAGCGGGACAGGTCCCGTCCAATATTATTATAAACCGGGTTCGTCCGTCATATTTCATGGCCGGTATGTCATACTATAAACATGTACATGACACGAAATAATGTTGTTTGTATAGGGTTCATGACAGCGTGGTCCATCACGACTCTATGCACGTTCTTAGTGCGCGACTATAAGACGATGTTAGTCGCACGCTTGGTACTTGGCATCGTGGAATCGCCGGTAAGAATTCCTAACCTCGTTGGATCCTTGATAACTTATTGGATATAAAGTTCTTACCCGGAATGCTATATATGCTGAGCATATTCTACACAAGGAAAGAGATTGCCACACGGATATCGATATTTCACACAGGCCAGATGGCAGCAAGTGCTTTTTCTGGGCTGATCGCCGCCCCTATCTTTACGAAATTAGGGGGAGTCTGTGGTCTTGCTGGATGGCAATGGTAAAGAGTTGTAACCCGCTCATAAAATTGCATTTGAACTGATTTGTATAGGTTATATATCATTCAGGGGTCGTTCTCGACAGTAGTCGCCATAGTCGGGTTCTTTTTCTTGCCAGACAGCCCACTTAAGCACAGGTGGCTGACTCCAGAAGAGCGACAGTTAGCCCATGACCGTATTATTAAGGACACTACAGAAAAACGTGAAGGTACTACGAGTGTTATGAAGGGTTTCAAAGAAGCTGTGCTTGATTATAGGACCTGGTTATTGTGTCTGGCGTATAACTTTGATATCTCTAGTCATGGTTTTCGGAGCTTCCTACCAACTGTCGTCAAAAACCTCGGCTTGGACAGAACCATGGCCCTCGTTCTTACCTGCCCTCCTTATATCATCGGCGCTCTGGTCTCGATTATCGTTAGCTGGTCTAGCGGTCGCTTCGACGAGCGAACATGGCACATCACACTTTCAAACGCAGTCGGAATCATCGGATATGCCATTAGCATGGCAACACTTAATACTGCGGCTCGCTATGCGGGAATCAGTACGTAACACTAGGAGCACCCTTTTATAAATCCTTTAAAAGTCCAAAGATAAGTTATGGCTAATTTATTCGCTTAAAGTGCTCTTTGTGGGAGCTTCCTATGGTATGAATAATATCATATTAGGGTGGGCAAGCTCGATATTAGGCCAGTCAGACGAGAAAAGAGCTGTTGCGATTGCTATGTGTACTATGTCTGGCGATATAGGCTCGGTTTATACTCCTGTCAGTACTATACCCCTTTTATTTTACCTAGAAGAACATAATTATGCTCATACGCGTCGCTTTAATGAGCACCGTATCTGCAAATACAATGCTAATCATTTTCATAGTACCTGTGGCCGGATTCAGATGCGCCGCAATTTATCAAGGCTATGTCAGCATCTATTGGTTTCTCAACAGGAGTCATTATCTGTGCTTGGCTGTTGCGAACTATGCTCATGAGGACGAATAAGAGGATACGACAGGATGGCCCATCCGTTTCAAACTTTTATGTGTATTGAGTCAGGTCTTCCCGCTGGATCTTCGAAGGGCGCTATTTATTCACTCTATGATTCATAGGTGGTCGTTTTCATTGTTGCTGTGCTACTGCTACTGGCCTAGGTCATTTTAAATTACATTCGATGTCCAATGTCAAGCGAAGTTGGCATGACATGGATCTTAATAACTTCAAACCGAAAGCTAGAAATAGCAATAAAGACCTTGTTTAAACCTCCATAGTTAAATTTTCTATAGCCAAGCTTGTTGCAGCCATTTTATCACATTACCCATAACTACCTAAACCGAAGCGTATTGACCGGAATAGTTACCTTATTTTTAGTCAAGTGAACATTCTTGACATTTAGTTAGTTCTCACCGTTTTGGTTTCTCTGTATCTATTTTTTAAAGTTGGACCTCACCCCCTTTTTTATACAACCATAGGTCAAGAACACCAGCCCTATTAGCTTACCTAAGATTTGGTAATACCACCGAGACATTAATGATGAAGGTAGGTAACCAACAGTCACGTTAACATTATCCCTTAGTCTATCCCTTACCACATAAATACCTCGTTAACCGTTTCAGAAAATTTGCTTAGTCCTTTAGGCTCGATTAGTGAACTACCCAAGTGGATTCTTCATAACTGGAGCTACTATCATCAATCAGGCCATATTATGACAAATTAGGAAATGACTCTTATGTGGGCGACTACGTTATTGGGCAGCAACCCCACGTACCCCAGGTTGCCCCCCTCTGAGGAGACGGTTCTTTATACCCCTCATCCATTATAACTCTTAGTAAAGGCGGCTAGAATGTCTTAACCCTATTTTCATAGTTAGAGATTAAAACGTATAGACGCGGGATTTCTCGAAGGTATAATGGGAAAGATAAACAAGATCGAGTATTTTCGGCTGCCACCGCGTTGGTTATTCGTCAAAATTGTGGATGACACAGGTTGTTATGGATGGGGTGAAGCTTCCTTAGAGGGACATACGCAAGCCGTGGAAGGTTGTCTTGATGCCTGGGCGGAAAAGTATATAGGATACGAAGCTGAGTAAGTCATTAAACCTACCCTTTGAGATTTTTATCATATCGCAATTGCTGACTAGACACCAAGTGACATCGAGCACATATGGCAGTTGTCGTATCGTGGAGGCTTTTACCGAGGGGGGCCCGTTCTCATGAGTGCCTTGAGCGGAATAGATATTGCGCTATGGGATATGAAAGGTACGAAACACCCTGAGAATGTGTTGGGGGTGTAGAGCGCTAAAGGATCCTTAGCTAGGAAACTGAACGTTCCAATCTATCAGTTGCTAGGTGGAAAAGTCCGAGATAAACTGCGCGTATACGCATGGATAGGGGGTGACCGCCCAAGTGATGTGGAGACGCAAGCGTAAGTATCACCCCGTTCGAATTATACCTCGATTCTAAATTCAGTCAGAAACGTCCGTAAAGCCCAAGGATTTAACGCGGTCAAAATGAACGGTACCGAAGATCTCGGATGGCTAGACTCTCCCCGTAAACTCGATGAATGCGTGGAACGTGTTAAAGTAGTGAAGGCTTTGGGTCTCGATGTGGGGGTAGACTTTCACGGGCGAGTGCATAAGCCGATGGCCAAGCAACTAGTTGCCAAACTAGAGCCCTACGACCCCCTATTTGTCGAGGAGCCCTTGCTAAGTGAGAATATTGGCGGTATCAAGGACATTGCTGCTCGTACGCATTGCCCGATCGCGCTTGGCGAACGTCTTCACAACAGATGGGATGTGAGACCGTTCTTGGAATCCGGATGTGTCGATATATTGCAGCCAGATATTTGTCATGTTGGCGGGATATCTGAGATGCGCAGAATCGCTTCTGCGTGCGAGACATACGACGTTGCACTGGCTCCTCACTGCCCATTAGGACCAATCGCGTTAGCGGCAAACGTCCAGGTTAACGCAGCAACTTCGAACTTCGTGATCCAGGAGATGAGCCTTGGTATTCACTACAATGTTGGTGGGCAGGATCTGACAAGCTATACACTAAATCCCGAGGTTTGGAAGGTTACAGATGGGTATATTGACTTGATGAGCGGGCCAGGTCTTGGCATTGACATCGATGAGGTACAGGTACGGGCCTTATCAAAGGACTTCAAAGCGTGGGTAAGCCCAACATTCTCTGGTCCAGGGGGTGAATTAAGGGAGTGGTAATCGAAAACCTATTATGAAGGCCCTTGATAAGTTAGACTTAGAATAAAGCCGTATCCGTATAATATACCACACCTAATTACCAAGAACCCGATCTCATCCAAACAGATGTAGACTGTCAGTTAAGCACCTATTTATACGATATTATTACCGGACGTATATGTACATACCTTATACTTATTAGCCCATCAACTACTAGGACGGAATGCTACTTCGTGTCGTCTTGCCTGTCCCTAAACATCTATTTGCTGATCGAGAATTCCCAACACCCATCATCACCATCAGTCAAGTATGGAATTCGTATGCTCTCTAAACTTGACAATATAAATGATGAATGACTTGAGAAGTCCAATTTAGCCGGCCTGTTCGAATGCAACTATTTTCTATTGTTAGATGTAATTCGGCTGACAGCGGTCTCTACGACCCCTTATATTATATCATTCTTCGAAAGAAGAGTCTCACGTAATTTATTATGGTCTGGAAAGAAGGTTAACCAAAAACGAATATCACAACGATACTACCCAATAGAATTAAGCATAGAGGGCAAGTTTCATATGCATACCATTTAATATGTGATCTGGATCGGGTCAAAGAAGGCGTATAAAGGAATAACTTCTATGTCTCGAGGATAATAACGTATATTAATATATCCTTTCTCTATTTCCCGGAGGTATCCAATTTTTTTTTTCCAAAAACACATATAAACAATCGCCAGTCTCTGAAACCTGCAGCGACTTGGAGTGGTAAGATAGAACTAATTTAGTAAACAGGTTTAACGAGGGACCCATAAAAATATTTAAATACGAACCATATAATTATCTATACTTACAGATGATTTCATTACGGGTTCCAGGATGTACCGGGTATATAATTACCAGTCGAATCTTCGTCCGGGCAAATAATTACCAGACGTATCTTCGTCAGGTTCCGTGCTTCCATCATCGTCGTCATCGTCATTGTTATCGTCATTAGAATCATCATCTGGAGTTGACTCTACGTCCGAGTCTCCGCCCGGCGGCGGAGGTGGGTATGGACCGTTCGGTGGTTCGGTGGGAAGCTCGTACATAGCCGGGTCCCTAAACCAAAATGTTGTAAACTCGGGATCTATGTGGTTCCATCGTTGGTACGAGTGTAAATTGCTATTAGGCACCTCGTCTGCATCATCCTCGACCTGTACACTGTTAAGGTATTTTCTAGTTAGTAATTACAAGTTTCGATAGTTCGGGCGATATACAATTTTAGGGTTTACTTACAACGGTGGAATTATATACCTATTCAAAACATGTTAGCGTCAGTGATATATCTTTTATGTAAGTAGGTAGGTACTCGGATAACCCCGAAGGGTAAAGGAAGTGGAAGATATTATTTAGAACTTCTCGAGTGCGTGTCAAGCAATAAAGGAATCGGTGTTAACTTACTCATAAGGCATAAACTTCTTGGGTCTCGTCCACGATACGTCCAGAGCAGTGTAATATCCTGCGGGCTTGTTGCCGATACCTCGATATCGCCTGACCTTCCTCCGAGCTAGTGGCAACATTGTGTCTACAACCCATTCAGGAGTAGGGAGAAAATCAGAAAGTGGCCTATCATTGCCATCATCGTCTTGCACCGTTTCGTCTATCAAAGAGCCGTTGTCGGAACCAGGGAATTCAAAATTTGCAAGCAGCTCGATAAGCTCGTCCGAGTAAGGGGCGTAGGGAGCAGGTATGAAATTATTCACCGTACGCATGGGGCGTCTATTCGGCCTGTCAAGGTCGCTCTCATGCTCGTCGTAAGGTATATGTGTTTGAACCATTTTTCGAAGGCTCTCTCCCATGAAGTATCTAATATGTTAGCTAGTTTCACTTTAACACCCTAAGGCTATGGTTTAGGGATGTCGAGGTTCAAACAAACACCTATAGAATAATATGACTTACTATAATATACAAGTTAGCGACTTTAGCCGTGGAGGGGGAGAGGGGTTCGAGGGGTGCCTCGAGGAGTATGGTTCAGGGGCTTAGAGGAGGTGGGCTTATAAGGTACATACCATGTCTTCCCAATCGTGAACTATTCCGTCAGAGAAGATGCCATTCGATATCCAATTTTCGTCGTCATTCGCCAAATTACTCTCGCCAAAATCACCTACAGCAACTATAGTTCTAGGAGTCAGCGCCTTTATCTTTTTGGAATATTACTAGAATGACTAGAATTTTGGGCTATTACCCGGAAACAAAACATTTTCATGCTAAAAATAGAGGTACTTACTTTCGGGAAAAGCGTTAGTTTCTTGACCGGCACGTGGTTGCCGGCCTGAACGGCGTGGATGATAGTGAAGGAAAATGTTGTTGATAACCATGTCGCGGTGAGCAATAACTATGCATAGACGAATTAGTTGATAGAAATTTAGGGCGTATAAATTTGATACTTACATTCCCAATTTTCTTGTTCGCGATTACTACCTGGCGGCGCACCGAAGTGGAAGAATCGGATGGCTAGGGCGAGCCTCTCAGCTACGTGCTATAACATTGTAAGTTAGTTTTTGTATTATTCTTTTTGCAATACGATTAGGACTATTTCTGGGCACTGGGGAAAGGGCTGCAAGGTATTTAGTAATATTAGATATAGGTGGTAGGTAGGTACTTACCCAAACAAAATGCTCTGGTATTGGTATTCGGCGTTCAAAATACCTGTTGATCAGGTTTTCCAGAGTTCCGCCATTGTAGAACCTGTAGTAAATGGTTAAATTATATCAGATCTTCAAGAGGTTAGCTACAGAACTTACCTAAAATATAGAGAATAAACTGCGTTTTGACGGTCTTGTATCCGCTGCCAAGCGACCAATTCGATGAACGTTATTCTCTCGACTCCGTCAACCACGATAGGTTCCGGTAAGCGGCGGTGTGATAAATCTGGTGCAGTTGAAATCCGAAGTTCTAAAGGTATTCTCCCAGGCCATGGACCAGCATTATAAGTCTTATTGACGAGCATTTCCCCTGTGCCCCTAGATTGAACACATACCACTTTTTGGTTCAGGAGAGAACGAATGAATATCATACCGTCCCTAAAGATTCGAGGGTCCTTAGTCCATTGGTTGTCTTCTGAGAGTTCTTCGACTGGAACGATCACCCCAGGTTGATAGTATTTGACACCAGCCGGAGCCGACATGCTGAATTATATGATATAGATTCAAGGAAGTACTTAATATACTAGATAACTATTTTCTCTCTGTAGAGCATAGAAGAGACGTTGGTATATATATGAATCCTCATAGCTCTAGGAAGAGTTATCTATTGTTACTTGCGCGTTACACGCCAGAACATGAAAGAACCCTTTATCTACCAAAACTATGGCATTGTCCATAATAACTTAGCCTATTCTATTTCCTTATGAAACAGAGGCGGTGTTAACTAAACAATGCTTATGAATTTACCGTTATAATGACATTCTATCTTCATTATACCTAACCTATATAATTATCTTAAAGAAGGATAATTTAATCTTACGTGTTGGGATATACTTAGGTACTTTGTTTAATATATTTTGCTTTCTTACTAGCTTTTGTTCCTTTTACAAGGTGGTGAATCAAGTTTTTCATCTGGGACAGGTGATAGGTATAAGCGGAGCTTCGAACCCATCATAGAAGTCTCTATATTGTTTGCGTTAGCCTATATACCATAATTACTTTTACATTGTTTACCTAATTATTCTAATAGATATATGGCCATAGCGAGTTATATAATAGTAGACGCGTAACCTAGACTCTTTAGAAATACTCATAAGAGTCTAGTTACAACTAGTCAGCTAGTTAATAGTATACAACCTTGACAGAAATATTACCTAATACAAAAGCGGGCAAGTGGGGGAAAAGCACTGACCACGTTAGCTTCGATCACTCGCACAACTACATAATCGGGGCCTTTCGGGTCTAAGTAGCTGTTTTGTATGGCCCGTGCGTATTTTTTCTCTGCCACTTCGTTTTCTAGCGCCTCACCCAGTTCTTGCACTCCCTCTCAAAAAAAGTCTCCATTTGCAAAACCTCAATATCGACACCCGTCCTCCTTAATCTCCTCTCCCTCTCAATTGCAATCTGATTGCAATTGGTTTTTCCTTTTATTTCGGAGGACTAGATATCCCTCTTTAATATGTTTCGTAACGCCCTCAGACAGTCCACGCGCGCCGTGAGCGCAATCTCTGCCTCGGGTAGAGTCGTTGCGGTAGGTTAAATCCCGGTCCTGTCGAGTCCCCATCCCAATTCCATCCGAAAGGATATGCGATCGATCTCAATGCATCCTCGGAGCATATATGAAGCTTTACAAGAGCTTTTTATGGTATCCATGAGGGATATTGGAGGGATTATAGAGCTTGTAAAAGCTTCTCATCATATAACTGCGGCATACTCGCTCACCCACGTTGACATTTTCGGACTGTCGGCTAACTTTGACCGGGGCTGTTTTTTTTACAGACACGAAATGCCGCACCTGCCGCCTTCAACATCCAGGCCCGATCCTACGCCGATGCGAAAGCTGCACCCACAGAGGTCTCTTCCATTCTTGAGCAGAGAATTCGTGGTGTACAAGAGGAATCTAGCTTAGCTGAGACTGGTCGTGTCCTCTCCGTCGGGTACGTGTGGAGCCTTTGAAGCGAGATTTTTCAACCCGCCAACCCGCCGCAAATTATTCCTATATATCACCAACCAAACTACGGCCACGAGCGGTTCCTACCTTCTTGTCACCACTACTACCGAATATTTTCATATACGCATATCACCAATTGCACCAATTGAATCATGTTTGCTAACTAAGGTTCCTGCAGTGATGGTATCGCGCGTGTGCACGGTATGGCCAATGTCCAGGCCGAAGAGCTCGTCGAGTAGGTTTCCCCACTAGCTATAGGATGGAAGGCATGCAATTAACCATTGAGCATAGGTTCGCTTCCGGTGTGAAGGGAATGTGCATGAACTTGGAAGCTGGTCAAGTTGGTGTTGTGCTTTTCGGTTCTGACCGTCTCGTCAAGGAGGGTGAAACCGTTAAGCGTACCGGAGAAATTGTGAGTATTTTTATGATGCAAACCGATCGATCGAACAAGACGGTTTAACAATCCCTAGGTCGATGTCCCCGTCGGCCCGGAACTACTTGGTCGTGTCGTCGACGCTCTGGGTAACCCCATCGATGGCAAGGGCCCCCTCAACACCAAGGAGAAGCGCCGTGCTCAGCTCAAGGCCCCTGGTATCTTACCCCGACAATCCGTCAACCAGCCCGTCCAGACTGGACTCAAGTCCGTCGATGCCATGGTGCCCATTGGCCGTGGTCAGCGTGAGTTGATCATTGGTGATCGTCAGACCGGAAAGACTGCCGTCGCCCTCGACGCCATGCTCAACCAGAAGCGATGGAACAATTCTAACGACGAGACCAAGAAGCTCTACTGTATCTACGTCGCCGTTGGTCAGAAGCGATCTACTGTTGCCCAGCTCGTCAAGACCCTTGAGGAGAACGACGCCATGAAGTACTCCATCATCGTCGCTGCTACTGCTTCCGAAGCCGCTCCTCTGCAGTATATTGCTCCTTTCACCGGTGCCTCGATCGGCGAGTGGTTCCGTGACAACGGCAAGCACTCCCTCGTTATCTACGACGATCTGTCCAAGCAAGCCGTCGCTTACCGTCAAATGTCCCTTCTTCTTCGTCGTCCCCCCGGACGTGAGGCTTACCCCGGTGACGTTTTCTACCTCCACTCCCGTCTGCTGGAGCGTGCTGCCAAGATGAACGACAAGCTCGGTGGTGGTTCCATGACTGCTCTGCCCATCATTGAGACCCAGGGTGGTGATGTCTCTGCCTACATTCCCACCAACGTCATTTCCATTACCGACGGCCAGATCTTCTTGGAGGCTGAACTTTTCTACAAGGGTATCCGACCTGCGATCAACGTCGGTCTGTCTGTGTCTCGTGTCGGTTCCGCTGCCCAGCTTAAGGCCATGAAGCAAGTTGCTGGTTCGCTCAAGCTTTTCTTGGCCCAGTACCGTGAAGTCGCTGCTTTCGCCCAGTTCGGTTCCGATCTGGATGCCGCTACCAAGCAGACCCTTAGCCGTGGTGAACGTGTAAGTGTTTGAAAGTTTGGATTTTATATGGAATTTAACTAATTTATCTACGTGCAGTTGACGGAGCTTCTCAAGCAGAAGCAATACTCCCCCATGGCCGTCAACGAGATGGTTCCCCTTATCTTCGCCGGTGTCAACGGTTACCTCGACCAAGTACCCGTGAACAAGGTTCTACAGTGGGAGACCGATTTCTTGGCTCACCTGAAGACGAGCGAGTCTGACCTGCTCGCTACCATCGACAAGGAGGGTGCTATCAGCAAGGACCTCGAGCAAAGATTAAGGGACGTCGTTTCCGCTTTCACCAAGAGCTTTCTTGCTTAAATGAATCATGAGATGTCAAGCGGGAGGGGAACTATCTATACCTTAAGGGCCTTTGATGGCGGATCATGTTTCGTTTAGAGAGGTACATTATTTAAGGGTGCCGATTAGTGAGGATACGGGTTAGAGCTGGAATCACTCCATCTCCAAACCCCTGTAAAATAGAGCCAAAAACTCAAGAGCACTCGATTCCTTTGTCTTGAAACTTGTCCTAAGCTATTTTTACGTCCCCTATAAAATATTCCAGAGGTAAAAACTAAGATCCCAAGGTTGCAATAAGCTAGAGTCCCGAAGTGGTCCCTGGTGACATCATAGGTTCCGTATCGAACATCGTGGTTTGATCATAGGTACATGTAGTATTTGGGCATGCGATATGTAATTCTCCAACCACCACCCAAATAAAACTAAACCATGACACTTTTATGCAACCTTTTTACCCCCTTTCATTCATTTCCAATACTGACGATTGCTTCTTTCTGCAACTTGAATTTCAGCAGTAATTGTCTTTGTATCTAGTATTCTGCTTACATTAGGTACCTAACCTACCTCGTATATTATTCTCACAGCCCCGCGGTTTAATCGGAACGAACAGCGGTTTCGTCGAGCGTTCTCCCCCACCACAGAAGAGGAAAGACATGAGCTCCGAGACCGCCGAGAAGATGTCGCCGGCTACGCGCGAGGTAATAGGCAAGGTGCGCCAGCTTGTACCGCCGATGCTGGAGAAGTTCCATAAAGGTAGGTAGGTTTATTTACGAATGGGGTTTTCTATGGCGTAGCTGGAGAAGTGGGATGGATGGATGTGGTTTTGCTTCTCGTCAACTACCTTAGGTAGCTATAGCAGAGCTACCAATGGCCGAGGAATTCAGTGCTGACCGCTGGGATATTCTACTCTAGGTCAATTGGGTCGCGTGGCTGTTATCGGCGGTAGCGAGGATTATACTGGCGCGCCGTATTTCTCTGCTATGGCGAGTGCTCGCCTGGGCTGCGATATGGTATGTAGCACTGGTTTCTTTAGTATATAGCTTTACGATTAAGAGAGCGCGGCAAAGCTGATTCGAGACTTGTTCTTCCCAGTCCCACGTCATATGCACCCCCGGTGCCGCCGCCGTGATCAAGACGTATAGCCCGAACTTGATGGTGCACCCGCTCATGCGCCAGTCTCCTCCTCCGGGCTCCCACTCGAGCTCCCCCGCCGACACGGACCCCGCACAAGTCTCTAGCAAGATCATCGATATGCTGCCGCGGCTACATGTGCTCGTCGTAGGGCCGGGACTGGGACGGGATCCGCTGATGCAGGAGACTTGTGCCAAAGTACTCGCCGCAGCGCGCGAGCGCAAGATGCCCGTAGTCCTAGACGCAGACGCATTGCTTATCGTACTCAAGACGCCCGAGCTGGTAATAGGCTGGCGGGAGGTGGTGCTCACGCCGAACGTAGTCGAGTTCGGGCGGCTGTGGAAGGGCATCAAGAGGGACTCGTCGTCGCAGAGCGAAGAGGCGAGTAGCGGAGCAGACTCGCCTAACCAAGTTGAGGCGCTATCGCGCGCGCTCGGCGGCGTGACGATCGTGCAGAAGGGCGGCAACGACTTCATTAGTAACGGCGAAACGACGCTGGTAGTCGACCTGCAAGGCGGGTATAAGCGAAGCGGCGGACAGGGAGACACGCTGACGGGAAGTATTGCGACGTTCTTGGCCTGGAGACATGCGTACCTGGAAAAGATCTGGGACCACGGCGGCAACCTCAGCGAGGCAGAGACGCTCGGATTAGCTGCCTTCGGAGGCGCGGCTATCACGAGGGTAAGCTTGCCTTGAGAAACGAATGAATCCGAGCTGAGCTTTCCTTGCTAACTAACTTGTGCTTCGTAGGAATGCTCCCGCCTTGCCTTTGAGAAGAAGGGTAGGAGTTTACAGGCTAGTGATCTGACGGATGAGGTCCACACAGCATTCTTAAACGTGATCGGGGAACCGACTGGGAAGCAAAGGTATGTTAGGTACCTATCTACATCATAGACTACCTACCTTATTTCATCTCATCCCCTCTCGATACTAATTAGCTGCAGTTAGAACGAGCCGCAATCTAGGAGCAACGACGCAGCCACGACTGTGAGCCAAGAGACTTTCTAGTATGAAAACAATATTCAATTAGCGTTGCCGTATCAGGACAGCTCATCCAAAACTGTCAGGCTGGTATGGCCTGGAATTTAACCCGATATATATCATATGGGGTGATTTAGCACAGTTCGACCAAATATTTACTTGTATATAGGCTATATGTAGGTAGTTTCAGTAGAGAACTAATGGTACACGTGACCATGATATACAGCTCCTTGCCGCATACAAGCTACATAGCAATTAGTTGTATGTCAGGGAGGCATCGAAATGCAGTGTGATCATGCTTTGTAACTCATGACAAACGTCAACGCCCCGTGCAACAATCTTGCGATACTCAATCGCACGGGAGCATAATATCCAGAAACTGAACGCAACTTAGACGCAACGTCGAAATACAGCTACTACATCTAGGTATGTGATTAGAATACGTCCTAGCAAGAGAGTTTGCTTCTCTACCTAAGCTCCCGCGAAATACACATTGAGTTATAGTAAGACTGGTCTTCGAGATTTGTGGCACTCAATTTCAAAACTTCGAGTCCAAACGGATTCTACAATCTGCCGTGTTTGTGTAGGTACTCTGTGACAGCTCCAAATTTCGGAGATTCATTAGCATCCACATGCTTCTGCTGTGGATTGCGAAACCATCCTATTCGGAATAATGTTTAGCGCACGCACGCACGGACTTGGCCCTGAGTGAGACGAAGTAATTTAGAAGGGAGGTATAGTTAATGATATAGTTAATGATACGAGAAGAGTTAAAGGATGTGGGAGAAAGAGGAAAATACGGTCTTAGAATGTATATGTAACTGACCCCCAGAGAAGCCTTTCGTCATAAAAGTGAGTATTAGACTCGAGAATCGATACACCTAAGGTCGAAATTGAGGTGATACCTCTAATTGACTTTAAGACCGTAGTACTCTAGCACAACTGTCACGGGATGATGCATCCGTGTAGATTTGGAGACAAACCTAGCATGGGGGTAATAAGGGCATATGGAGCTTGGGTTGTTCGTCCACTAAATTAATAAGTCAACCGATCGGGCCTTTCGCTTCCATTCGAGACTCATTGGTTCGTGAACGCAGCTTACCGTGCACCGAGACATAAAGCCCGGAGACGTACGACGTATGAGAACCGCGGGAGCTCCTTGTCCTTCGTCCATGAGCTAACCCGTTCTTAGCGTATTACTAGAACAGTTAGTTCTAGAGAGGCTATTTAGTTCACGGCGAAGCCTCCGCCTCTATTGATACCATACCCGGATGAGGCGTTCAGTAAGGCTGCTGCTGCTGATAGAAGTATAGCCTTCCAATAGAACCTCCTGAATAAAAGTGCCACAGATTCTTAGTTTGACCAGGTAGACTGAGAATCTAGGATTCTTGTGGCTGATGAATCGTATGCCCCTGAAAGCTGATACATTACGTCTGGTATGACATGTCGACTCTGGCTAACAAGACAGCCTATCTAAATAAGCAATGCCAGGCTTAATGCAGCATGCAAATCACCCGGATCTAACTACACGGATCAGGTGCCGGCTGTAGTGGCGATGGTTCCTGATGATGCAGTAGACCATGAGCTATTGTGAATCAACCCCGACTTGCATATGCAAAGACTCTGTTGAAATATGAATTTTGACAGGATCTAGGGGTGATTGGCCAACGTTGAGCCATCTTCATGTGACAAAGCAGACGATGGTTCACGCATATCGGCTGACCTTGAAGTGACCCGATCGGCTGGGACACTCTCCAAGCATTATCAGATCTCAGTCTTCGAAGCATGGCGTCCTGTCAAGGATTACCCCGCCGGGCGCATTCAGTCTTCCAATAAGATGGGACGAGAAAAAAAAAGTCCAAAGAGGTATCTGTTGGTTCCCGATGCAGGGCCCGGAGCTTAATTGATCTCCTTGTAGTTTGCGGTTCCTGCGTGGTCTAGACGGAAGATTGCGATGTTATGAGGTACAGCTTATCCGCCTACGTACGCGCGGGATCCGACGTGATAAGGTTCCTCAAGTCCCTGGTTTCTCAGTGTACCTATATACCTAGAAGAATTAGAAATCTCAGCTGAACCAATAGATCTAGAGCTTTCGACATCCGGAGAGAAGCTGAAGTGAAAAAGAAAAGAAGACATTCGATAGTTATTCGAACGTTGTGACGTTGTGACGTTGTGACGTTGTGACTGAGGATGAGACGAGATCATCGTAGATAGGATATTTATCTTTTTAGGAGGCGGAGCTTGACCGAGACAATAACGGACGTTTGGGTCAGAGAGGCAACCAATGACTCTTCAATGCAGAGTCTTTATCAAAACAGAATTCATCTATAACTTCCATGGATGTTCGAATACCTTCGATATTCTAAGACAAGAGGAATAAGTAATGAAGATGAAGATGCAATTACGAGAGAAGTTGGGTAAAGCTTGCAGTTGTAATCCGTACTATTACTGCCGTAGTTGCGCTAAAACATCCAATTAAGTTTAGCGGGTTTCATTGCCAAGGTTTACTTTCCACTAGACCCAGTACGGATACTGAATTCGTACTTCGTACCTTTCCTCTCCAGCTTCAATTTCAATTTATAATGTATATCACCGGACCTCTTGCTTTTATACCGCCAATGGTACCTGCGTATGGTCAGGGAACTCCCTTACACCGGGAGTTAGGAGGTTACTGCCAACCCTTCCGCCCTTCCCTTTGACACTTTCAAGTCTTTTAGAAGGGATTCTGCTTCTGTCGTGGAACCATGGGAACACCCCTGGCTTTTCATACCGCTCATTGCGTCGTGATAGCCGAGGCTTGTCGAATTCTATGCAACTCTCTTCGGTAGCGTTCCGAATTTCACGACCACAATTCATCTTTCTTTTTAAGAAGGGATAAGGGGGGCTGGCTTATCCCCGGCTCGACTGCTCGAGTGGTCTGAGTTGTCTTACACAACCCACCACCTGTAGCCATTGCTAGCTAATAGCTACGTCAAAACCGTTGCGAGAGATCCAGATTCCAGACTACAATCAGACTAGAAGTCTATGTATCTAATGACCTACCCATCTGTCCAATTCTCAAGGTGAGTGATGGTAATCATTACTAATAGCCAAGTACCTACCATTGAATTGAGTGAAACCGGAAACCCCGTGTACAAGGCTGTTGTACTCGGAAGACTCGAGATGCTCGGGTCCTCCCTCCCTTAGTATTCATGTATTCGTGTACCCCACGACTTCCTAAATTCTTTGGGAAAGGGGGACAAGTCTCACATCGATGGTATATGGCCATCAGACTTGGTCGTAACTACCTAACCTTCTCTGAGAATGAACTTAAGAGTAACTTTTTTTTTTTTTTTTTTCTCGTGCTTTGTTTGGAACAGCTGAGAACCCCTGGCCCCCAGCCAACCCGTCCACATTCCCAAACCGGTCGTCTACCAGCCATCACAACCAATGGCGTCGTGGCTACCTTGTATCTATCAAACGACTGGTTAGTTTCTTCCACATCGCAGCCCCCATCACCGCGCAAAGCTTTAGATGAAATGATGAAATGAGATTCTAAAGTCCGTACCTGGATCCTGCATCGTCCGCCACCCACAAAAAACGATTGCATGACCCAGCTACCCGCCGAGCTGAAGACCACACACGCGTACGCGATTACAGCCCCAACTACAACTACCTACTCGGTCTAATTTATTCATCTTAATCTTGGTCAATTCCCATTTTCAGCAGTCAGTTAGTCTAGTGGTCAAACATTAGGTACTCATGCTCAACTACGAATACAGTTAATAACAATTGGTTGGTTCATTCCTTTTCATCGTATCACTTCATTTGTACTATGTATATGCCGTTACGTTACTATCAGAGCTCCCCTCATTAAGAACTGTGTCTGCACATAGACCGAAATTGGCCTTCACCAGCCTTGAACCGCCTCAGACACTATGATCTAGTCCTGTTTTCCATTATTATCCCTTGTACTCACTACCCCAGCCGTCGTTAAGACATGCAGGTAGTTCTCCAAGTTCTCTCATGCGTAGAATTTGGTGTCAAAAAGAAGCCCTCAGCACTAGAAACACCCAAGCAACACAACATCCATCTTGTCTTCTATACTCCAACCCTCAAATTTATTTGGTATTCCTTGAGCCCGATCTGCTGTACCCTCTAATACCAACCCTCGGCCTACCTGTTGTGCAATGCCGGTGCGGCGGACCTCGAGATGAGATGTACTCTATTATTTCCTACTCGTGACACCATCAAGGCCATTTGGTCTACGCCCCAGTTCGTCACGAATTGCCCTCTTACATTATTCACTCGCTAGGAGTCTCCAGTCGTCCTCTTCCGGATTAGACATATCCACGTACCCATACAGTCAGGCTCATCAACTACATACTGACTCACGATTTTTCATCGACCTCGTCTAAACAAGATCACACCTGTGAATAAGCACCCACTTTATTCTACTAGCCATTTCTGCGCTTGGAATATTAACCATCAGGTAAAATTACTTTCTGATCCTACTTCGTTATGATGCTATATGCGATTTTTCTTATATCTCAAATACCTACCGTGCACAAGCTGACATTATGGCAAAACCAGAACCACTAACAGCTTCCAAAGCTGTGGACAGGATGGTTAACGGGCTAGAGAAGCTAGAGAGGTTTTTTGGTACTTCAAGGAAGAGGGATAAGGAGAGAGGAGCAAGGACTAAAGACCTGTCAATTGTCTCAACTCCGACGCAATCGCTCAGTGGTCCCCATTTCCCATCACCATCTTTCATGCACCCAACATCAGCACATATGAAACCTCGGGAAGAACCAGTTCCATGGTCTAAAGTAGTTAAAGAACGCTCCCAAAGTCTGCCCGACCCGCATGGTGGTTTAAAAAGACGATCTTCGATCAGCATCGTTCCCAATCACCGGCATCATCCTAGCGACCCAGTCCGATTAATATCACTGCTAGTCGAAGATGAGGGTCCAAGCGGCATGGGGATGTTTTCCCGTTTTAGATTTCCCGATAACACTATCGAGAATGAAAATACGGGAACCTTTCCCATAGACGGCACCGTCGAAGGACCGACATCAGAGCACATTATCCAAGAGTCCCAAGCGGAGAACATACTGGATTGGCGTCCCCGGCGTCTATCTTCACTATTCAATAATCTCGGTCTAGATACTTCTATTGACTCTATTGATAATCGCCTAGCTAGATTCTCCAACCACGGCATAGAATCATTAGGCTCAGAGCCATCCCCCACATCATCTTCTCCTCCTTCTCCCAGGACGAGGAGAGGCTTAGTTGCCATACCGCCCAGAAAGTCCTCCCGAAGACTAAACGCAGCTTTAGCCCAGGATTTAACGATCCCGACGAGAAATCATGTGCTGTTTCCGGTTTCCGCGCACCCTCCCGATTCCCCACCCGCATCAGACGGTGAGGAAGAGTATGAGCAAACCACAATTCATGGATCAACGTCGATTAAAGGCTTATCTTCACCTATTGAATTTACGCCGCGACCGTCGTCCGAATCTACCACTCGGCGCAGCACCGAAATTTCGACTCGTGTACGGGCTGTTCGAGAATCATGGGGAACCAGAATCCAGGATCCATCGTTGATCTATAATGGCCATGGTGAAATAACGTTTAGTTCTCAACGACAACTTGTGCGAAAATCTACAAGTTTAGCTTCACTATCAACTATCACTAGATATTCAACGAACGGTTGCGATATCAGAGAGCCGACACTTGGTGACTTCTATGCTCTCGATGACGAAGATGTTGCAGAGAGTCTACCCGCCACTCCCATGCCAGAAGCCGATATACCGCCAACACCACCTCCGAAGTTCTCACCAAAGACTCCTATCGGCAGAAGCCGTTCCACTCGACATGTGCCGATCGCGCCTACTACCGCCATTAATCTTGTATCTGGAGAACTCACCCCGCCCCGTACACCGACCGACTCTCAATTTCTCTCATTGACTTATTCACCCTCTAGTACATCGGGAACTTTAGGGGCAATGTGGGCTGCTAAAATCGCAAAAACATACAACTTCGACTTGGTGTATGTCGTAAATCTTGGGCCGAAAGTCAAAGATGACGGCTCGAATCCTCATCAATCTACTCCTTCCCATGGTCAACACAACGCACAGAACGTAGACGATGCCACCACTCAGTGCGCTGTCGTTGTACGTCCAAAATTGGAAATGGCTGGCCAGATACTTGCTGCTTATGGTCTAAGTGAATTTGGGTCACCTTTTCGAATTCACGCCGAGTTCCATAGGAAAATGCTTGGGCGCAGGGGCTGGAATGAGTACCGTGATGAGCTCGCATCCCCTGAGATGATATCTCGTGGGTGGGCATGCTCTTTTTATACCAACTATTTCTCGACAGCCCAAAATGCTATTGGAGAGACGCATTTAGCACGAGGCGGAACGGCGAATCGCGGTATAATTTTCGCAGCGTACACAAGGAAGACGACCAAGTCAGTGATACCGGTTAGGTCATCGCCGAAGCAAACCGCAATACTCGGCAAGCTACTCTACGACTCGCAGAAACTCGTTGACGCGTTGGTCCACGGCGATTGATTTTAAAATGCATAACTATATCCATGTTATATATTAACGGAGATGGCATTAGCGAGGCGGCGCAGTTAACTCTGGAGAATCATAATGTCGAATACGTGCTATGAGGTATTAACTAACGATCTTGGCTGTCCGAGGGCGTGGACAAATATCCTGGGCCATCACAGCGCATTTTATTGGGCTATGTGCTAGGGGCGGAAAGAACATGATGTGGCATAATCTATAGGTATGCATCGTAATATATGCAAAGTGGCCAGCCAACACGGCGCGGCAAGGTGGTGTCAAAATAAATGCCTAACAAAGGTACTCCGTTTATAAAGGATTCACTCGAGATATATTAAGCGGAAAAAATACCAAAAATCATATTAATATGGAATAGATCCTAAGCTTCATTCTGATAAGTTATAAGGATATGCTCGAGGATTTCGCAGAGTTACGTACCTAACGTATTTAAGACAAGAAAGTGAGCCTTTTGATATGTTAGTACTTATATAATCGTATAACTAGGTGCAGTGGTAGATTGGGTCAACACGGCTAGATCGCACTATGGCTCGACAGTCCTCATAAAGACTTCCAGCCATCGGCTTCAACAGATTCCGAGCGTTGAATCGGTCTCTAAAGCCCTACATGTTAAGCCTACTCCTCAACGGCGAACCTGACGTAAAACCAAACCAGTTCTTCAGTAGAGAAACTGCTTCCAGGAAAATGCCGACGCCTGACGCAAGACAGCGCTTGAAAAGTTTCATTTCGCGATCTCGATATATTATGACCTCAGGAGACGATAGTTGGTTCAATGGACAGCTCGATACTGCAATTTGTCCAAATTATCCATCTTGGGTCGACCGCGGATAGGTGATTCCAAGCAAATTTGCTTGTCAATTAGTTAATTGAGGTAACACAAAATGTCCTGTAGGATCAATTTCTTTGTCGATACTCCTACCTTCAATGTACTTCATGTTGATATATCTATTTCGTACCCAGTGTGGCGATATTTCGGCTTTACAGCTTCGCATTCAGCCTGAGATTTCTATGCAGTAACAACTACTATGCAACCAACATATTATGAGAGATCCCCCCTTACATTCAAGTCCGAAAGTGATGCTGGGAGCAAAGCTAGGAGCGCGGATCTCAATGACTCGTCTCCTTTTTAAACACTATCTCTATATTGATTAAGAGTGATACTAATTACAGATTACAAAATATTTCTTCCATACAGATTACCCCATAGAACAAGTGTATGCACCTGCCCACCAAAACCACTAGAAAAATGACATAGCCCCATTCTGCCCCGTAACTTTCTCAGGCCACAATGTATGAGGCTCTAAGGTCTTTTATATAGTATGTATAAGACTTGTCACTCAACAATATCTTTCTTAATATACCCCATCTCTATACAATTTTAACACCATTAGATGCGCCTCATCACAAGGAATATGATGGTATAAGTAACAATTAACAGTTATAAAATACGGTGTATTGGTTGGGAAATCTAGTATACGTATTGCTATTTACTGATTAGTTGGCCTTATATACAGATTACATGCCACTATTTACAGATTACTTTTATAATAACTTAATGAGATACGGTCGCATTATAAAAAAAAGGAATAGATCGATTAGATTCAATTGAGCGATTCCGTGCATGTAAAAATATTCTAATATCTATTGTAATTATTGACGAAATTGAACTTCTGTAAAATCAATAAGGCAGAGAATGGCCGTGTCATTTTACCAGTAATTTTGGTGGGCAGGTGCATACACTTGTTCTGTGGGGTAATCTATATGGAAGGCCTGTCATGGTAATCTGTACCACTCTTCTTCATTGTCTTCCCCAAGAAACCCCACAGGAAATGATTAGCAAAATTCATGGCTTTGGCAGACAGTATAGTAGCGTAGGTAGTGTTTCTGGTATTGTTCTATCCTATCTTACCGAACATCCGCCACATTATCTCCTTACCTTTGAACGTTCCCTGGGGGTACTTATATCACGTACCTAGGCAAAAATTTGATTGGTGTTTATAGGTACAATGACTACATGTATCGCATACAGTTAACTACCTATGCAGGATATAAACCAGATCTCTTAGAAGTGAACAATGTACATAGCTGAGACCTCTATCTGCGTATTGTTACGAATTCACAGGGGGTCACGTGATTCGATCATTGGACTATATGGATGACGACTCCAAAACTATGATCTAACGATCAGGAGAGATCAGCGAATCAGTAAATTCGAGATGTTCAAATATAGATTTACTGATTTACTCAGAATATATTGAAGGTAGGATAAATATAAGAAGAGATGATCTCCTTGTGTATTCATTTTACAAGTTCTAGATATAACTATTATTAGTTGTCAGTCTAAGTTCTAAGTATAATACCCAACACATACTATGGGAAAGGAACCCAAGCCTTTTTGACGAACACTTAAGAACTACTTGTCTACCACTTTAACTCATACTAATATATTACGGACCAGGGCGGGGTAACACATATAATATACATAATACAAAATTGGGGAACAGTGAACAACTGGTCACCGGGAAGCCTTTGCTTTATGGCTCAGCCTTATGCTAGTCAAGGAGATACCCTAAATCTATAAGGCAGCCCTATAAAAGAGTGGGTTAATTCATCTTGCGTAAGATGACCTAATTGGCCGGTTGGGTTACATACATGTAGGTAGGCTGTCAGATTGACCACTTGACCAAAAGGTGTCTTGTAATCACATAGGTAAATGTTGTTACTTAATATATGCAACAGTACCCAACGTAAAACGGGCGCTGACATCGGAAATTCTTTACCACGCTTATATCTGAGATAAAGCCCTGCTTAGGGGTGAATGTTTGATCATAAGTATTATTTCCCTACATCCACACAGCCTAGCTCCGAGACCTACCTAAGCCAAAACAATACAAGAAGACAGACAGACATATGGCTACAGGCCCTCTGCCTTGGGGGCCTTTCGGCCAGTCTACCTCCATGTACGTTATGCCAATGATGATAATAATATAATAATAATATTACAGTATCAGGGGAGTTAACAGGCCGTAGACCTAGGGACATGCTCGTGAACAGTTCACAGCAAGCCATAGAGCCTGCTGAGATGAAACTATTTCACCTCGATCCGGAAATCATCAACGACCTTGGTGACATGAACAATGAAGAGCTCCTCCTCCTCTCCATGATGCACGAAGATACGGTAATAGATAACCAAGTAGAATTATATATCTATACCTCTCTCCTTCTCTTTACGCGGAACCAGTCATTCGAATGTCTCCGCCGAGCTATGCAATTGACGAAGCAATGGATTACGGCACTGGGCCTTTTTGACCACGATCGCGAACGGAGATTCGGCATCCTCAATTTTCTATCACTGCGAGCCAACAGGCTTAGCTGCACGGGAGATTACGTTAAACATTCGTATACCCAAGATGTGTAGGCTTTAGTTATCTCCTATCCCCAACTTCCTCCATATCAGGGCTGTTGTCCTTTGTTTATACCCTTCGGTATTTACTATCCACAGCTGCCACAAAGAAGACCTATATACCTAGATGACATGTGCTAATATATGACAATATAGATCAGATCTATCAATACTTGACGATCTAGATGGTATGATCTATCAGGCCGTCGGGGTCTTCAGCAGGTATCAGCAAACCGGCATTCTGCATTACTTAAACGAGGCCATTCGCATGCTGGAGCAAGCGATAACTGTAGCACCAAGGAGCACGGCGCTAAGTAACCTAGCTGGTATGCTCTGGGATCGATTTAGACGGCTCGAATCAACCAACGATATCAATCGTGCTATCGACGTCTTGAATATGATGGTAGATACTACACCTCAGGATGATCCCACCCTAGCATGTCGGTTAGGAAACTTAAGCATGATGCTCGGCCGCCGGTTCGACCAAACAGACTCAATGGACGACTTGAGGCATTCCATTAACGCCTTGAATATGCAACTAGAGTCTACTACACCGCTAGACCATCCTCATCGAATCGATTGTCTAGTTAGACTAGCGGCGCGGCTTAACCAACTTTATGAGAAAACTGATCTAATCGAGGATTTAAATCGTGCCATTGAAGTTTCGGAAATGACAGTCGATATCATGTCGGAAAACCATCCCGATAGACGCCCCCCATTAAGATGCCTTGGAATCCAGCTCGGTATTCGATTCGAGCAAACTGGTTCGATGGACGATTTAAATCGTTCCATCGATCTTTTGAACGAGGCTTTAAACACCATAACTTCAGACAATCCAAAGTATACTATCATTTTGAATTCTCTGGGAACTAGACTGCATGATCGCTTTCGTTGGACCGATTCGATGAAAGATTTAAATTGTGCAATCGATATCTTGGAAGGGGCTTTGAACAGCATAACTTCAGATCATCCCGCTTACGCACCCGCTTTGAACTGTCTTGGGTGCTGTTTTAGTGAAAGGTCTCGGCGGACCCATTCGGAAGATGACATGAATCGTTGTATCGACATGTCTAGTATGGCAGTGGATGCCACACACGAAGATAGTCTTGCCGACCTGGCTAATCGAATGAGTAACCTTGGGGCCGCTTTGATAAACCGATATAGCTGGACATGTTCGATGAGCGACCTTAACAGCGCCCTCGACAAGCTAGATATGGCAACAAACCTCGTGCCTGTTGGTCATCGTGCATATATAGATATAGGAAATAATTTTGCGGATTGCCTTGGAGTCATATATACCCATACTGGCCTGATAGAGAATCTTGACCGTGCCGTTAGTATTCTGACAGGAATTGTTGATCGAATGCCGCCAAACCATCCATCCAGAACGCAACAGTTATACGCCCTTGCCTTACGGCTTAGTCTTCGATATCGACGGACTCGTTCGTTAGACGATCTGAACCACGCCATCGATATCACCACAGCGGTGGTGGATGCTACACCTCATAATCACCCTCACCAAGCCAAACGGCTAGCACTTTTCGGAGAAGTCCTTACCTCGCGATATCAGCAGACTGGTTCGATAACTGATCTGAGCCGGTCTATCGATATTATAAACACTGCAATCAGCTCAATCCCCGAGGATCATCCTGCTCGACCCCAGCTCCTGGATTCCCTTGCAGCTGGACTTGTCTTCCGGTTCGTACAGACTGGTTCGATGGATGATTTGAACCGTTCTATTGAGCTTTCAAACATAGCCATGAACATTCCCATCCATGATCAACTTGGCCGCGCCGTTCTATTAATGAATTTTGCATCCCGACTAGGCCGTCGATTTGAGCGAGACGGCTCGATATATGATTTGAACCGTGCCATTGATCTGTCGAATGCTGCCATAGATGCCACGCCCCTAGATCACCGCGATCGAGCTTCTCGGTTAGGGACCCTCGCAATTTGGCTAAGTTACCGGTATGATCGGACTGGTTCGATGAATGACTTGGATCGTGCTATTGAGGTCTCAAAAATGTCAATAAGTAATATTACATCCCAAGACCAAGAGCAACAAACTGTTCACATGGTAAACCTTGGGATTCAATATCACAAACGATCCCAGCGAACAAATTCGATAGACGATTCAGATCGTGCTATCGAACTAACAAAGAGGGCACTGGATAACTCACACATAAGACTTGTCGATCGAATTTCAGGATTAACTACCCTTGGGAATAGCCTAGGCTATCGATTTTTTAAAACTAGCAATTTAGAATATCTCAACGGCGCCATTGACATGGCGAGTAAGGCACTGGATGTGACACCCCAAGGCCACTCAAGTAGAACGAATATGGCATACAACCTTGGAAATTGGCTCGAGCATAGGTATGACGTGACCGAGTCGGCAGATGATTTGGACTGGAGGCTTCGCTCGTATAAAGAGGGTTGGGACTGTCACGCCGCAGGCGCACGCGATCGGGTTCGTGCGGCTTATGCAGCTGCCCAAGTCTTGACAGTACAATGCAAGTGGGAAGAATCCAGCCAACTTCTAGAGGAAGCCATCCACCTTTTCCCAGCCATAAGCCCGCGGTCTTTGAAGCATACTGATAAGCAGCATATGCTTGGTAAGGACTTGGCTGGCTTAGCTTCTTTGGCGGCGGCGGTTTCTCTAAATGCGGGAAAGGGGGTCGACAATGCGCTGAGGCTTCTTGAACTTGGCCGCGGTATCATTGCTGGCCTATTGATAGATATGCGCACGGATATTTCAGATCTCCAGCAGAAATACCCGGATTTGGCAGACAAGTTTTCATTTTTACGAGACGAGCTGAACTCGCCAGCGGTCTTACCTAGCGATGATCCATCCACCTGGGAATCGAAAGCTAAACAACGTCGTGAGGCGGATGAAAGGTTCAACGAACTCATCACGAAAATTCGTGCTAATCCTGAGTTCCACAACTTCCTGTTGCCTCCGGACCGAGCTGAGTTGATATCTGCAGCAGACCCTGATCCCATTGTCATTGTTAATCTGAGCCCATGTCGATGCGATGCGTTCCTTATTGAGAGAACGCAGATCAGGGTGTTAAACTTGCCTGACTTAAATATGCTCGATGCCAAAAGATGGGTTCATTACCTTCAGTCGCCTCGAAAAACTGATTCCTCTACAGCCAAAATGTTAGAGTGGCTGTGGAAAGTTGTTTGCCGCCCATGTCTAGACGAACTAGGTTATAAAACCCCTAACTCTGGCAACCTTCCCCACGTATGGTGGATTCCTACAGGACTCCTAAGTCGGTTACCACTCCATGCGGCTGGAAGACAGGTATCTGGGTCTAACGAGACCACACTGGACAGAGTCATGTCATCGTATGCCTCGTCAATCAAAGCCTTGGTTCACGGCCGCCGACGTCGCCCGCACGATCCCGCAAAACTTTTATCTAACCATGCTCTTCTAGTAGCCATGAAGCAAACGCCGGGGCTAACTACAAACGGATTTCTCCCTTTTGCCGCGAGGGAAACCGATATGTTAAGCAGTCTCTGTCCCTCGCTCCAGTTGACGCCAGTTATGCCCGTGCCACGCAAAAGCGATGTCATGGAGCACCTAACCAAATGCCAGATATTCCATTTTGCAGGCCATGGAAAATCTGATCCCTCAGAGCCTTCGCAAAGCTGTTTGCTTCTCCAAGACTGGGAAACCGATCCACTTACCGTGGAAGATCTGCGTGATCGGGAGCTTCAGAAGAGACCGCCCTTTCTAAGTTATCTATCGGCTTGTTCGACTGGATCAAACGAGGCAGAGGATCTAGCTGACGAGGGTATCCATCTCGTGAGCGCCTTTCAACTGGCGGGTTTTCGACACGTTGTAGGCACTCTCTGGCAGGTATCAGATAGTCACTGCGTTGATGTAGCGAGGGTTCTATACGAGACGCTGCGAAATGAGGGGATGACGGATGTCGCGGTCTGTCGGGGACTACATCGAGCCGTGAAACAGTTGCGCGATGATGAAATCAAAATGTACGAGAAGAGGATGAGAGATGCCACGGTGGAGTCGGAGAGTGACGAAGAGGCATCGGGATGCTTTAACTGGGTTCCCTACATTCATTTTGGTGTCTAGATGGTTTTATTATGGGCTTTGCATAAGTGTGTTGTGGTTGTCGCTGGACGGAAAATTGAAATAGGACGGTGGTAGGGTAAGATTGATAGCATAGGCGGAATCCCCTTTCTAAGTCCTCGGACCTTGGGGCTATAATATTTCAAAGATTTGCAATGGAATCGAGAACATAGCGTATAAATACTTAAGAAGAACAGGTAGTTTGCAGTAGAATGGCCTATTTTATGTCTATCTCTAATATCTAATAGATACAGGTACCTAGGTATGTATCTAGGCAGGCAGGTAAGCCACTGTCAGCATCCAACAACTACGCAGTTCGTAGAGTTGAATGAGGAGTCGCTAACCAGGTTAACTGTTTGGCAGTGATATGCGAATAGGAAATTGTAAAGATATCCAATCCTCAGATACGTGATCGTAACTCGGAGTGACCCTATCTCTAACATTCCTCTTTGCAAGCTCATGGAGTTTGGGCAGCTCTAACATGTCAAACGATGTTGGTAGGGACGTAATGAAAACCTTGATTATATCCTCGCATGAGTCCTGCGTCGCAAGAGGATTGTTCATTCTGATCTTTTTGGTTGAGCATCCTGTAAATCGCTTGGCATGATCTTGTGGAGGTATGGCTTCGTAATCGCTACGGAGCATACCCTTGACCCCCCAACAAGGATCCAGGTCATACAAATGAACATACAGAACCGTCTCCCCCAAGTTCCTCATAACGATCTTGATAGCATCATTGTCTTGAACATCTATCTGTTCGCCTGGGCCAAATGACTTTCTATTCGGGTCTATTATCTGGATATCAAACGACTTTCGAAAAGAAGTTTTGGGTGACTCATTAGTCAAGTCCTTCACCATGTTGAATCGAGCTAAGTGTTCTAGAATATCGCAAACGCGGCTGGGATCTGCTTGATCTTGCAGTGTGACTGGGGGTAGGTTGGTAATTTTCTGACCAGGCTTATCAAATATTTCATATTCATTATTGCTTAGCTCAACCAGGAACGTTGGGTGTTGATCACGACTGTCGACTAAAGTGACGAGAGACCGTCTCATCAACTGCGTCTGCCATTCATCACGATGTGAAATATTAGTCCCCAATTGAACTGGATATTTGGCGAGATATGAGCAAGTAAGTGGTTCTGCGGTCCACCCTGTTTGGAGACCGCATGGTGCATCCAAAAGCTTCAACTCGGATATGAGAGACCCAACGCAAGTGACTCCCGCCTTCGCTATAAGGTCTCTCTCTTCCCTCGGCAAGTTTACTGATCCTAGGGGAGATATAGCAAACCGGTCCCCGTCACGGAGGCCATGTGCTCGGCCTACGGGGATACAAAACTTCCCTTCATGTTCGGTTATGCAGATAGACTTCACGTCATGATCCAGATCGACCTGGCCGAAGAAACCTTGGTGTCCGTTTCCATACAAAACAGGATGTTGTGACACGCGTGATTCCCAGAATCTGGCACACAGATGGCGATGAATGCCCATGTGTTTCCTTCTAAGCCCATAGTAGGATAATGTTTTGGAAAGAAAGTAGGACAACGCTCCATATCGTTCTCCTTTTTCGCTCATTTCAATTGCTCCCCCCTTAGCGTTTTCATGAGGTCCGCACGCGGCAAGTATAGTATACCGATCCGGATCCAGAAGCCAGTTGTCTCGCATAGACGCATCTCGGCTTGTAGTATAGATGACATGTCTTGTGAGGCCATCGTTTAAGTCAAATGAAGTCGTCGAGGTTGTCACAGAGCTAGGCGGGAGATACCGAACGCTGCAGCCGCTATTGCGATATACACTCCCAGAGAAGCAGCAGTCTAAGACGACAGTAACCACTACTCCCTTATCTACCATGCGTTTGAGAAGGGAAGCCAACGTTGGACCACGAAAGAATTCCGTGCCGCTCTTATCTCCCTTCAGGAGAACCAGCGCTAAGTCTCCGGTTGAATGATTCGAAAAAGGATAACTTGGGTCCGATCTAGTACCATGGCCAGAATAATGGAGATAAAAGAAGTCACCATCGTTCGCTTGGGTTGTGATAGAAGTCAAAGCCGATATTACGTTACCGCACGTCGGCCAGCTGTTCGGAGTTTTGAGCGGCGTTACGGGTTCGGAGTCAAGATCCTTGCCGGCCGTGAAGGTTTGGATATTGACAAAATACAGCGTGTTGACGAGGCATTCTTTAATTATACTAACATCTCGTACACAGCTCGTCAAAGGTGCCGTGGGATAAGAATCGATGCCAATGAGGATCGCGTAATGCTTATTGGCAGTGTGCTGCTCACCCATGGTGGAATCGGTTTGTCGTGATACCCCCTGATGATTGATAGAGTTCCTATACACAAATATCAACACGAATATCAACAGCACTACCTTTATTCACTACTAGGCTGATTTAAAAGCATGATTTATTGTCACATCGACACGTCAGGCAGAAAAATGGAATAATGAGGCTGTGAATATAGTGCCTAAGAGCCCGAAGCACTCTAAATTAGGCGTATTTATAAGGCACACCACATTCACTGTTGTAGCGTCTGACATACCCCGCCCACCTCTTTAATATAATGAAGGCAACCATTAGGAGTTCACCGTGACCGTCAGTCTAAAGGTCGTGGCTACATTCATGCAGCCTGAAGCCCCGCCATTTCGAACTCCTCACCATTCTTAGCAACTTGGCCGTTTTCTAGGCTAAGGGTACACTTATGCCCAGAAACAGATGCAACTGAATAAGGGCCCTCAAGGGATCCGTCGGAGCTTAGCAGATAGACTTTATCCCCAACGTTAAATTCCGGTGTCTATATGCGAATTTAATTGGTGCCAGGCGACGTCTTAATACATAGGAACTACTCACCCCAGCGTAGCGGTCGATCCAAGGACGGTCTTCCTCATCGGAGAAGAAGAATTTGTCTTTATCGTTGCTACATAACGTGTACGTATTAGATGCCTCTGTAGGTAGGCTGAGATGGGGTAGGGGGGCGCATACCTATCTTGGTGTGGCATGGTGGTTGGTAGGTATCAAATCAACACTCTTCATAAATCGATTTGAGAAAAGAAGATAAGTATTAATTGGCTGCTCATCCCATTATATATAGGTAGGAGGTAGTCAGGTATTCATATTGGGTTGTCCTTTCCAGCCTAACGTACACCACCACCTTCGATACTCAGTGCTACGCTCAATGCATACCATGACCAGCTGAATCTTCTAGCAGATTCCTTGCAAGGAAATTACGACAAGCACTTCAAAATACTAAATTGGGTTGGGATATGGACGATCCGGAAGCCGGAAAAAGTATGTGTGCCTGATTGCAATCCCTCTCTAGATCGAAATCTGACTGTATCCTCTAGTTGAAGAGTATCGGCCTGGGTATCCTCGGTACACCGCACTTCTATCTTCAAATCTTGGCTGGCTGATATTTCGTCGATTCGATAAACTGAGGGCTCGAATCCTCTTGCGAAAACAAGATCAGTTATCCGTACTGGAGCATGAGTTAGACCAGATTGACAAGCAAGAGACGTCTCTTCTCTTTCTTGGGAAGAACCGATGCGACCAGAACCCAGGCCGGTTGTCTACCCTTTCAAAGATCGAAGCGGCTCTGGCCGACTATGGTGAGAACCCCAAACAACCCCCGCGCAGCCGTTAACGGAGTCAGATGAACTCGTCGAAAGAACCAGTCGAATTCTGAGCCTACATTCTGCCGATCGAAGGGACATAACCAGCCTTCAAAATTGGGTCCAGGGGACCGGCTGTCTAGCCAGAGATGAAACAGCCTACCTCTCATGCCGGAGGGAACTTGTCAGTCTAGCACCAGTGACAGACAGTGGGATTCAACAACTCGAAACGTGGGTAGAAGATAAATTGGTCCGACTCTTGCATAGGTTCCGAAGAGTAAGAAAGCTACAATGATCTGTCTCCATATCTCGCCAAACGACTGGCTGGCTGACAATTATAGACCGGAGCCCGCGAACTCTCTACCGATCCGAATGTGCATATATATAGGGGTCCCTGGGTCCGGCGGACTGCGAACGCTCTTTTAATCGTCTTGGTAACCCTTCTCCTAATGGTTCCGGTTATGATATGCAATCTCGTCAGCACTTTTTCGGTCCGAATTATCATTATTATGGTGTTTACGGTTTCGTATCTTCTTATACTTTCCTGCTTAGCAAAGTCAAAGACGACGGAATTGATCCTCGCCGGGGCGACGTATGCGACCGTTCTCATTGTGTTCGTTTCTGGTACCATCACAATGCAAAGCTAAGGGTTCTAGCATCCTGTTAAATTCAAGTAAAGAATCGATTGAGTGTATGAAGCTTGTCTTGATTGATTATTCTGGTCGGAGGCTCTTCTTGGCTGGCTATTTTAAGGTGGCTATTTTGAGGTTTATAAGCAATACTTAATAATTATCTGCTAATCTCTTGGCTTTTTAATGAGCAACACTGGTACCTTAGGTTAGGTAGCTAATGCCCCTGGTGTATTTTCTAACCCTTTCTCGACCATGCGGTATTCAGTAGACCCTATGAGTAGCGACGCCGGCCATTTTTAGAGACATGGTATTCATAAATGTGCTTAAACTAGCTTTGGCTGTATCCATAATGTGTGGAAGTTATGACTGAGTGAAGGTGGTGATCTGTGGTGTGATAGCGATTATATTTTGCTCGTGGGCCTCTGTTATTATATATCTGTAGGACCAGTCCGCACGTACTACAACTTTCTTTTGTTGATGACCTTGAAGAAACCTTGCGTCCTTGTTCAAAGCTTGGGCCTCGTGGGATTCGTGTGTTCTCCGATAACACAAGCTTCCTCTGATTGCAATTTACAGGGTAGAGTTGAACCTGGCGATGGTAAGCTTCAATACTATAGCTAGTAACTAATAATAAACTATAAATCTTCAGCTTTTACTTAACTTACGGCTGCCTTAGTTATAACTTATGAAGATAACTCTTCGCTTGCAAACTCTAATACCTATCACAGATGTACTAAATAGAGAACTATATTTACCTATCTCCTTTAGCCCAAGATATAACTCTAAGTGCTTTGAGAGGGATACCGCACAGATAAATTCGATCTTGTGCAATAGTTAAAAAAACGCGTAAAAAATTCTGACCATGTCTTTACGAAATCTATCTGGTTACTCGTTTTCGATATTGGCTTTGGCATCCTGCCTTTTGCCCCCCATCCCTCTACGTATTTCTCATAATGATCTTACAAGCAACCGCTTATGGATCTTGTGACTTGTGGGAAATATTATTGTCTTTGCTTCCGATAGACATCGGTATATCGCTAAGAGATTGGGCTGAGAGATGCATACGGGTCGATATATTGGGGGGCGGGAAGGGCATCATTTAGGTAATAAAGTAATAATTATCATTTGTGAGAATTGTATTATGCAACAATATTATGCAGAGTTATTTCGATAATATGTACAATCTAAAGTACGGGATATCTCGGAGCATTAAAATATTTTAGCTAGTTATTCATTTCCCTCGACCCGCATTACTTCTCATCTTCTTCGTGTCTTGGATCGTGATGCTGGCCTTGCTGGCCTATCTTGTCGGCAACTCTCTGCACCTGAGCAGAGGCCGCTGCTCTCATTTCCCCTACCGCCGCCCTCTGCGTCTCGTCCACGTCTCTCACGACTTGTGCTCCAGCCTGTTCTATCCGATCCTTCTGGTTCGATATCTCACGTTGGCTTTCATCGACTGCTCGAACTGCCTGTGCGCGCCGCTCCGCGACCTCGCGATCTAGATATGCCGCGTGGCGCTCGACTTCCCTAGCAGCAGCCTCTTGCATCTGCCCTCCTCGCTCGCGAACGTGATTCGTAACATCCTGCGCCTTGGTTTCCAAATTCGCTGCCAGTTTGTGCGCTAGGCCGTCCATCCTCGAGATGTCCACAATATTATCGCTGCTGTCTCTGAAGTTTCGCACATTCCTTGTTACCGATGTGTAACTATCCGGTGTATTCATTTCGATTTCTTGCTTGGTGTGATTATACATTCGGTCTATGGCTGCGACAACTTCGTAAACGTCAAGTGTACAGCCCGTACGGGAGAAGTCACGCTCGCGCTGTTCGATATATTCACGTATCTTCTTCCACTCGTTTCCGTAGTACTTAAGACGTGCCGGCAACCCGCTGCCCTTTAGGAAAGTCAAGAGTCCGGCAATGATGGTGTTAATGGCGCCGAAGGCCGTGACCGCCCCGTGACTAACTCCTGCTGCGCCCATGGCCGTGATCGATGCTGCTACCACAATCTGGAAGAAGTAGCACGCGTTGATAAGGATTGAAAATACTTTGTAGCGGTCCTTAGACTTCTGTTCTGAGTGTACGACACGCGCGTATATGCCGATATTGGCGGCCGGGCGGGTTCCCACGGGGCTAGTCTCGCTGTAGCCGAGATACGGCGAAGTACTAATGCCCACCATAAGGCGGAAGAGGGTAAGACGGTTGTCCTCGGGTACGAGGTAGCTTTGATGAGTATGGGGGAGAATATTAGAGTTAGTCCCCAACGTCGGGGTAGGAGTCGAGCCGACACCCGCCGCCTCCGTGGCATTCTGTGCTCCTTGCTCCTCATCTATATGGCCTTCTTGTTGCCTCTTCTTAAAGAGTAGTCGAAGTAGTGCGCCGAAGAATGATGCCATATCGTGAGCTGCTCCGTTTTCCGGCCCAACTAGACGCAGACAATCATACGATATCAAAACGTAAAACCACAACGTAAAAGAAAATCCAAAGCCGCTAACCCACAAGATTCCTTAAGCCACTACTATACTGAAACACTTTCTATATTTTATAAGTAATGCGGCTCATTCAGCTCGTCTCTGGAAGCATGAGTGCCCAAAACGTATAAAAGCACCTTAAACAGCATCGATCTACGCTGTGCTACAACCAAATATATTGCGGAGTTGACCAATCATTGTCCTGGCGGAGACTTAAACGGGCCTCTGTGCCAAGTAACCAAGGTTGATAGGCGAGCGAATGCCGTTGGACGGGCTGGACGGGACGACCCTCCACCGCTGACCACTTACATGATTGTGAGGCACTGATTTGATGCCTCGTTGACCGCCGAGCTGATGTGCCCAAGACCCTGGTAGTGTAATTTCCGCCGGCTCGCTCGGGTAACGTCTTAGCCTCTTAGGGAAATACAAAATAAGCAGGACGAAGTTCAAAGAGGGGGGGAGGAAAAAGAAAACATGATGTCTAAAGTTGCATTAGATTGTTAAGCTATCGAAATCATCCCTGAGACCTACATAATGCCATTGAAATTGCCATTCCCAATGTTGTTGCGATTCCTACGTGGGGTAAGAGGCGGCAACCAGGGCTGATCTTACTATGCAAGGGTATAACAAATCGTGATTATAGGACGGCGAATTCAGCCGCATATATATTTTTCTGTGACTATTTTTTTTTAGAAGCTAGGAAGCAGGCGAAGGTACCATGTAAGCCGAGTTGTGTAAGCGGCTGAGCCTCTATATCGCGGGCTCATAGTCGAATTCTCTATCTCGGTGTGGTGAGCGAATCATAAGCGTAGAATAGTAGGTCCACATTCCATTCTTGGAATATAATTCATACCGATCAACGACGGACCGACCGGTCGGGACAAGTTTCAGGGATGAATCGATCTTGTATGTGTACCTACCTTAACCTAGTAAGTCATACGGTTTTGATAGATCACATTTATCAACATGACCTTTGTGTTGGAAAAATCGAAACCTAGCGCTCTATTGTCTATGCCAAGTTAATTTTGGAGTAACTAGACATTATTCAGCCCTCACTTTCCATTGGTCGTTTACATGGGATCTCTGAGCAGGAGTAGTAAATGAAGTCGGGGATTCAAGCGAGATTATTTCTTTTATATAATTCGACTTATCCGGGTGTATATGAGAGATTTGATAAATGTAGAGCTACTATTATAAGATGGTGAGCAAACTAATTTACATCACCATCATTGATCAATGAAGCAATGTCGCTGTTTGTACATATCTGGATAGTCCCAGTCATGCATGCTGCTTTAACCAAGGCAACAATGATTTTGCAACGGTGAGAAGTATGATTATAAGGTAAAAAAGAATATACTATTGAGCGGAATCTACAATTATTTTACTCGAGTCGCATACCCATAGACGTAATTATTATCGAAATAACAACACCTCATTCGTACCCATGAAAGAGAAGTGAAGCATTTGTCGCTTCGATACCTTAGGTACATCGATTGCCTAATCAGGTAACCCTCTATCGGGATTCGTGGAGCTTACAGGCCGAGAGATAATTAGTGTACACGTGCATGTACCTATGTAATGGAGTACAAGGTATCTCAATCCCTGTCATTGTCGTATGTAATCCCTATCGCGACCATCCGACCATCTGCAAGATAATCTTCAACAATTATCCTACCCTCAAGATCCTCGAAGTCTACATCGTTTTAAGAGAAAGATCATAGGCAGTTATACTTTACACCTTGCATTTCCCCAGCGTACATAAGTTACATTCCCCCAATAGCTAGCCATGACCATACGCTCGGATACTATCGAGGATGGCCTCTTAGACCCTAGCCACCGGTTCGATCCGTCTCAACAAGCGCACACTTTGATCCACCGTATCTACAACTCTATCAAGCCTCGCCGTGCGCCTCAGCCCAGATCCTACCCTCCTCCTCTCTCGAGCATCCCACCAACATCTCCCGAACGTCTTGCCCTTGCCTTTCCCGGCTCTCCCGACGATGCCTCGTCCGCGCCGACGACCGTCCTATACCTCGCCTACGGCTCCAACCTCTCCGCCGAGACCTTCCTCGGCATGCGCCGCATCCGGCCGCTAAGCAAGATCAACGTGTCGGTGCCCACTTTCGATTTGGCCTTCGACCTACCGGCACTGGCGTACTGGGAGCCATGCTTCGCAAACGTGTCGCCGCGCAAGATCCCTACGCCGCCGATCCCGGGTCATCCGCCGAGACCCCCATTTCCTCCTCCATCCCCGCCCACCAGCGCAAGATCTGACCGGCAAGACGAGCTGGCAGAAGAAGAGGAGAAGCTTCCGGGAACACTACTCCTCCCCTCGCTTCCTCCGGACCATAACCCGTCCTGGTCTAAGGGGCTCTACGGCGTGGTCTACGAGGTCACGCGCGAGGACTACACCCGGATCGTGCACACGGAGGGCACTGCCTACGAAGAAATCCTAACGCCGTGCCTAGCGCTGCCGCCGCCCTTCCACGTCCCTGAGAAACCCCCTATTCCCGAGTTACCGAGACCCTTCTTAGCGCGCACCCTGTATGCGCCACAACTACCCTCTTTCGATCCCCCCGACGGCGATGGCGACGACGGTGGCGACGACAAGAAGCGCTGGTGGCAGAAACTATTATTACCTGTTCAACGAACCCCAGGCTATGCGCAGCCAAGCCCGCGGTACCTACGTCTGATCCGTGACGGTGCCCGCGAGCATTATCTACCGGATGACTATCAGACGTACCTTGCGCGGCTGGAGTCGTATACTATCACGACGTGGCGGCAAGATATTGGACGTTGGTTATTCCTATTCACGGTGGTGCCGTCGTTCGCGCTGTTGGCGCTACTTGGTTACCTGCTAGCTAGTAAAGACGGCGGGATACCAAAGTGGCTGGAGGCAGCAACAACCATCCAGCGGAATCTAATGTGGAAAGTCTACGATTATGTATTTAAGCCTCTGTTTGGGGACGGGGAGCGGACGATACAAGAGGAAGATGACTCGGGTAGCACGAGCAGAATACGGACACAAACGTGGGGAAGCGAGAAGAATCGTCTGCTGGCGGATTGGTAGCATAAGCGGTGTTGTACTACGAGGATGGCAATCAATTTATGTGACGAATCCAATAATGTCATGGGATATCATATCATGCTGAAATACCCTTCTAGCCTATTCTTACCGCACCCCATCGTGAATAATGCAGCCTAACCAATCGACCATTGCCCTCTCCAAACGTCTCCGGTTACGCTTTTCCCATCAATTCATCGTTTCTATTAGCAACTACCTACCTAGGTATGTTGCTTATAATCTACTTTAGCCATGCTGGGATGATATCTAAGTCCTCGCAACAAGGTCGGGGATGTCGTCAACAGTATGTCGTCCCTCGAGGATATTGTGGACGGCCGTGAATAACGGGTAGTCCTGCTCGAGGCCCCGTTGCTTCAGGAACGAGTTGACCTCGGCGGCCGTGCTGGTACCTTGCAACTTCTGGCCGTTAAGCTCCGTCTGCTCGACTTCCTGGACAGAGATGCCCTTTTCGACAGCCTTCTTGGCACACCGGAAGTTTCGGCCACCGCTGCAACTCGTAATCAAGTCCGCTACACCAGCACTCTCCTCGGTGAATGTGCCAGTCGAGATTGTTTCGCCAAAGAACTCGTGGCCAAATTTAACCATCTCGAGTAGTCCCACGCGCATGATGGCCGCCTTAGCATTATCACCCCAGCCCCGGCCGTCAACAAAGCCTGCAGCTAAAGCGACAATATTCTTCAAAGCACCGCCGAGAGAAACACCTGCGACATCCGAAACCATGCGTACGTGGAAATAGGGGCGGTGGAAAAGCGTCTTGAAAGTATCATGGTCCAGAGGGTGATACTCGGGCGGGACAGGAGTTAGCTTGGTTTTGCTGATCCTACCCCTGACATCCCGGTGCTGTGTATCGGCCAAGGGAGTGATGCTCAACTCGTCAGCAGATGCTAGTGGCGAGTTGCGGTTTGGAGTCGCGGAGCGAGGGGTTGCGTTTCGAGACGGGTTGCGCGAGTTGTCCATGGGTGGCGGATCATACGCAATCGTAGTCTCGGACCATTTCTCGGCCGCGATTTCAGATGCGATGTTCGCGCCTGATAGGGCGCCGCAGTAAATACCAAGACCCTCGCCAATCCATTCCGAGAACAGGAATACACCCTCGTCGGTAACATTAACACCCTTAATGCAGGATATCCCTCGAGCGAACGGTAAGATTTTCCCCTTGAGTTGTCCGCAGATTCTGTGGATGAATTGGTGAGGCAGATTAAAAATTAGAATAGACGAGTTGCTGACGGCATCCTCGAGGGAGGGGTTCGCAACGAGGTTCGTAGGGAGCTTGATGTTTGGGAGATATTTGATATTCTCGTGGTGCGTGTTGATAACGGATGTAAGCTTTTGGGTCTTGCCCTCGTATTCTACGTCCTCTTCATACACCCACATCTGTACTTCCTCCTCGAATAAATCAGGGCGTTCTCTCGTGTTCTCAGAAACGATTTTGGAAATTGTCGAACCCCTTTTCACGTTACAATTAGGATTTTCAGGTACGAGAGAACGGGCTACGGATAGACTCACCAATTTCCAGAACCGATCACGGTCACCTTGTGCTTTTTGGTGCCGTTGGTGCCGTTGGCGCTTAAGAGTCCCGGTGCCATGGTGGAGAAATGTGAGAAGCGTCTAGTAGAATTATACGAGGGGAAGGATTTCTGTGAGACTCGGGAGACTCGGGCGTATGCAGGAAATGGAAATCTGAAGGAGGAAGCAAATGGATATCTTAATAGATATAGCGTTTTCATACAGACGAGAATTGGAAGCTTTGTAAGTTCGGAGGCGCATCCGAGCTTTTAAATATTAACTTAAATATTAGCTCGGTAAAGTTGTAAGGACCAGATGATGTCTTACAAACTCATGTGACAGCGAAGAATCGAAAATATTACCTACCACAGTAGAATCAAGACCGGACAGACCGAGGCGCTGGGGAAGAGCAAAAAACCTGTGGCACCTGCCAGTAAATAAGTGAGTGACGCACGAGACTGGCAGAATTAATACTAGTGCAAAAGTCACCCCTGCTGCCCTGCTACTCGGTATAGTATATTAAATAAAGGGGGGAAGACTAAGCACCCTAATGGATACGCTTACTAACATCTGATTGGTTTGAAGACCTAAAACTGCTCGGTATATGGCATATTTGACCCCCACAACGCGGGATCTTGCATGGATATTCGAGGTTAGAATTATATCCGTCTATTGAGGAGCTAACGCATAATTCACCGCCTGCCTCACTTAGCTAGGTACATCTGATGTAGATCTTTCCAGCGAACCGGTTCAGAGATTTAGGTCGGAGCTAAACCAAATAAGACCTACCTTGTGAGGGGCAACCTCGACTCAAGAAACGGAATGAAGTAATGCTATTTGTACATACGTACACTAGGAACGTACACTAGGAAGGGCCTATCCTATAAATATAGGTCCTTCATGACGTACTTGCGGCAACAAATGATAATATGTTGGAGGGTATTATTATTCAAACGTCGAATAATAGGTAATCTCAGTGAAGCATAAGATGGGTAGCAGCAATCCGAGTTGAAAATAAGCCGAGGTATGTAAGACCACCGAAACAAGCCGAGGCGCTTCCACGCGATGATTAAATCGGGTTGGATATCCCTTTTAGATAGAATTATTTTATATTTTATGAGATCGTGTACATGTACGGCTATCTGCTATGAATAAGACATGGCACATTGGTTTCAATGGTTATTTCAGGCTTTATTTACATTAATACTAAGTTGAACACATATTTTTCATCTCATGCCTTAGGCCTACCCTTTGATTTTGGACCCGGGACGTCCCATCTTGGGATAAACTTTCGTTCCTTGAACTGGTAAGAAATATACATATATACATCGCTTAGAAGCTCCTCATTCCAATTAAGCAGAGAACTTGCCGCTCTCGATATCCTTCTGGGCCTGGAGGGTCAGGTTGACAATCTCAATGACCATATGGCGGCGCTCCTGCTCCAAGTGATCATCCTCAGCACCGTCCTGGTACCACACAGTCGAGTACACCTCGAATCCATCAATCGGCTGGCCGTAATCAGCGCCCTTCACGGGACGGAGGGAAATATGTAGAGCGCCGAACCTGGTCCCGTCGCGTAGGACCTTGTCGCCGGCTTGTTGAACGGGAAAGTCGGGCAATTCCCGTAAAAATGGGTCCTTGGCCCGGTCTGGCTCGTCGAAGTTAGGAATGGTGAAGTTGGTAGTCACGCCTCCCCAGCCCTCTAGGATCTTGGACGAAAGACCCGTAGGAGTCGTCGCAGTGTCCTTTGCGTAGTGCTCGGGGTTGGCGGCCAGGTTGGCGGCATCTGCGTTCGGCGACGCGTACCAGGCCGCGAACTGCGCAAACGAAACGTTGGGTAGGAAAACGACGCCCCGCGCATCGGCAGGTACCCATCCGTCGCCTGACATGTCGATCACGTCGTGCCAGAACTTGTCGGCATCGTCTTGGTCGGGCGCTAGTAGCACCTTAAGTTCGTCGGTGCCGATATCTTGCTTGAGCTTCAGGATGGCGGCAACGCTGTCCTCGGGGAGAGCAGGGAGGGGCCCGTCTAGACGCGCCTCGACCAACGACAGGGCCTTTTCTGCGGCGGCATGCTCGTACTCGGTCTTCGTCTGGGCTAATTTGGGGCCGGATAAGAAGTATTTGTAGCCTGAGATAGTCTCATTCAAGGCCGAAGCCTGGAGGGCGAAGGCAGAGAAGAGAAGGATATTATTACGCATGGTGCCTTGAATAATTCGATGTCGATGTATTAGGAGAGTAATTGTTGCTTCCCTCTCCCGTATTTATATTTCAGCTGGATACCGGCCATTGCGGTTCCCATTACGACAGTCTTCTAGAACCTTATATTGCAACATATTGTGACATCGCGCTTCCTTGCACTTATCTAACCACGTGTAGTAGGTAAGGAGCATAATCCACGAGGGCCTCTGAATTACGGCGCAGCAATTGTTGCCAGAACTGTTCATTAAAGCAAACAAATCGTACATTGACGAATCCCCAGCCACTGCTTCGGATCCCGAGGGATTTGCCGGTAGGTAATCGATCCCGGTCCGGCCGTTGACCGACGCGGCAGTCTTTTTAATAGGTTAGTTTACAGGCTTCATATCTATCTAAGTTAATGTTAAGCAGCCAACGCCTTAGCCAAGTCTCCCTTTATTTATTTTACATGGACTGACCATGTCAATAATAACGTGATTCAATTCCAAATAGAACCCATCGGTTAGTTCCGGTACCACGACGACTTTAGGTAATGGATAATAAATGGTGATGGGTTTGATTGGCCAAGTTACTCTCAAGGGAGTGAGTGCTAAGTCCCCCGTAGGTAGCCTCAGAGGTATGCCCCGCACCTTTGCACCTATGTATGGGAATAGTCTTTGAAACCTTCGGTAGCATATCCAATTCAAAAACTTATCCCAGTATTATTGAACTGTTTGTGGCAAACTTCACATGAGCATTAGATAATCCCCTCACAAATACTATGTCATGTAGTTTTATGTTTCGAATGTTTGATCTTGTGTAACTATAGCCAATAGGTAATATAAGATAAGGAACACAATACTTCGCATCAGTCCTGGCTGCAATTTAAGGTCTTTTGGGCTAAAGCCAACAACCCCGTTTTTGCGAGTAAAGTAATGCTGTGTTATACGGGCTTGGGTTTAGGTAAGGATGAAGTTTATAGTTGAGCGTTGAATCTTGTTGGTTTGAAGCTTATTACGAACGTTTACTTCCCCCTTGAAGTTGTGGTATTAGGTACTTTCCAAAATTTGAACATCCGTTTCTTTACTCTGCGCATTCGGCTTCTTGCATTAGGTGGAAATTCACAGGGATCTCGCTCTTGAGCATGATATTGTACGGACGTAGGATTCGATAGAACTGGCGTAGCATCTTGGCACCAAGCATGCTGTAACTCTTTAGGAAGGCAAAGAAGGCTAATTGCATATGTTCTTATAGAAAGCAATGCCATTGATAATAGCGACAATATCTATAATAATGAGAGCTTAGGAGACCTAACCCCCCCAAAAGTCTAGGTAGGTACCTAACATCTAACCCCCCAATAGGTACCCAATTCCTCATTATTAGTTGTCTAAGGAAGTATTAAAACTAAATGAGATATCTTACCTTTCCCGATTTAGGTAAGCAAGCGGCTCAACGCATGTAAGAGCGGAAGCGGGTCAGTGGGTTAGCGGGATGTCTCCTTATGTAGTACATAACCCTATTCGTTAATTGGCGGATTATCCGATTATATAATCGATGCGCGACTTATCTTTCATATTCTTATCTGCGTCTGACTTCCGCAGATGAAATCTATTCGTTCTAAGTTGCTGATCTTTTGCGTCGTGCATCGTCGTGTACTTGCTTTTTTGGGCCACGAGCGTACGCCATCGACAAAGTAATCTTATAATCTCACATTGTTTCATAATCTCACCTATGAATCCGAAATCCTCTTGATCAAGCGTATTATCTTGTAACCGAATTGCCGTAAGGGTTCGCCCCCGCCGAGCCCTCCAGCCCTCCATGGGCCAATGGTCGCGACGCCATTATCGTCTCTTACTATTTACCAGTTGGAAATTACCACCAAGGAATATTACACCAGCTGACCAGAAACTATCTATTCATACAAGGAACAAGAGAGGAGTTCCTCTCTGCGTATACTTATTTTTTAAAATCCCTAAAGAAGTGTTTGGCACCGGCACCAACATCGAGATCCATCAAGATCCATCAAGACCCGTCAACACCTATTGGCTACCTCTTTTAGCTACTTTCTCAATCGACCCAAACTACCGGATAGGGTGTCGCCATTTTAGCACTCCCCCGGAAGTATTATCGTTGTCAACATCCATGTCTATCAAGTCTTAGCTTGCATGTGCCCTGAAAACTGCGCTCTTTCTATTACGTTTCTCTTTTCCCGCCAAACCTCGCTCTAATACCTACCCTAATACACTGATACACCGATACACTGATACCCTGATACCTTGATACCCTGATACTATTGTTAAGCTAACTTAGCTTGCTGCTGTGAGACTTTATTATGGACGGGCCCGATCTGTCGGGTTTACGACCGCACGCCGCCTTGACTTCCGGTCATTCTCTCACTGACTCCTCCCATCCCCCGGCCAAGAAGAAGTCAAGGAGGGGCGGGGATCCGTCCAGTCAAAAACGCCGTTGCGTCAGCACGTACGTGATACACCGAATCTCCTCTTAGTTGCTCTTTCATTATGATATAAATTGACAAATTGACCTTGGCGTCTGCAGCGCATGTATAGCTTGTCGTCGTCGGAAATCGAAATGCGATGGCGCACTCCCGAGTTGCGCCGCGTGCGCGAGCGTGTATGGTACCGAGTGTGTTTACGATCCCAACTCGGATCATCGCCGAAAGGGAGTTTATAGAGAGAAGATCGACAGTATGAAGGCGCGCAATTCTACTCTCCAAATCCTGATCGAAGCTATCCTTAATGCAGACGAAGAAGATGTCCCCGAAGTAGTCAAGAGGATACGAACCTGCGATAGCTTGGATGCTGTGGCCGAGTCGATTCTCAAGCAGGAAGAGTTCGGCAGTGTGGGAATAGAAGATGAAGATCAGATAGAGAATGACTATACTACCGACATGCCTGTTGAAGGCGAGAGAGACCTTGCCCGGAAGATGGGGGAGTTGCGGCTGGAGAACGGCTCGACGCGCTTCATCGGTGGTACCTCTCACCTGATACATTGGGATATACATGGGGCCCCGAATCCAGAATACGAGTCCCGGAATACTACTAGAGCAGCCGATATAGATCCTATTACAAGTTGGTCTGATGTAACCAAGGATCGAGGAGTTGTCAAACATCTTCTTGATATGTACTTCAACTGGCATTATCCGTACTTCACCACATTGTCACGGGCTCTGTTCTATCGCGACTTTTTAAAAGGGAGATATAATATCTCGCCGAATAAGGTTGCATATTGCTCGCCTTTATTAGTCAATGCGATGCTCGCGCTAGGGTGCCACTTTACCGATGCTACTTGCGCCTTCGGCACAACTGGAGATAGTTGGACCAAAGGAGATCATTTCTTCGCCGAGGCTAAGAGATTGATCGTTGACAACGACGAGTATGAAAAGCCCCGATTAACGACAGTTCAAGCTTTAGCTCTTATGTCTGTCCGGGAAGCAGGCTGTGGTCGAGAAGCTAAGGGTTGGGTATATAGCGGTATGAGTTTCAGGATGGCACAAGATTTAGGGCTCAATCTAGACATTGGTGGCATCAAGGGCGATAACGATAATTTGGACGACCACGAGATAGATGCGCGGAGAGTCACTTTCTGGGGCTGCTTCGTGTTCGATAAGTGCTGGTCAAATTACTTAGGTCGACTCCCTCAACTACCAAAAAATTCCTACAGCGTTCCCAAATATGACGTTTTCCCGGACGAAGATGCCGAACCCTGGTGTCCATATACTGACTCTGGTTTTGACGAGTCGGCGAAGCAGCCGTCGCGAACCCGCACGGTCGGTCTACAATTATCTAAATTGTGTGAAATTAGTGGCGACCTTCTCTTATTTTTCTATCATCCAAATCACATAGGGCGGTCGAGCGGCAAGTCAGTCGAGCTCAAAAAGCTGAGCGAACTACATCGGCGCCTTGAGGATTGGCGAAAGGAGTTACCCAAGGAACTTGAACCCAAGGAAGGTCAATTACCTAACGTCATTTTGATGCAGTAAGTTCTCTATCATCACAGTCGAGAGTCGAGATATCATGGCTGACAAAATTTAGCATGTTCTTCCATCTTCAATATATTCATCTCTTCCGCCCTTTTCTCAAATACTCCCCTGCTACGTCCCCCTTGCCACCTCATGTGTCTCCTCGGAGAATATGTACCGCAAACGCGGGTGCCATCTCTAAATTGATGAGATTATATAAGAAGCTCTACAACTTACGCCAAATCTGTAATATTGCAGTGTATATGCTACATTCTGCTTGCACTATTCATATACTCAATCTCCCCGAGAAGACGGCGAGGAGGGATATCATTCACGGTGTAAAGCATCTCGAAGAGATTGCAGAAGATTGGCTCTGTGGGCGACGAACTCTTAGCATAATTAGTGTTCTCGCTCGTAAGTGGAATGTTGAGCTTCCTGAAGAGGCTTCTCATGTTTTACAGCGTACGGATGAAAGGTGGGGTACTTTCAAGACATCCGACGTACCTTCGCCCCGTTCGCACATGGCTATATCTCCATCGCCTCCAGCTGTTGCGATGTCGCCGCAAGGGAAGGTTGAACACAGCCCCGCGAATCACAATACTCCTCCGACTTCAGTCCCATCACCAATAGGCGGTCCGGGATCTACCGTTACACCCGAGATAATGCAGAATCTAACCTCATCGCCACCCAGCTTCCAACCTGACGCACAAATTCCGCAACCAGTGTTGGATAGTGTGGTTATTATGGGTAACTCGGTACCCTTAGATACAAACGACTTAGGTAGTCCGGACTGGCGCCAGCCTCCGGCTACACAGAATGTTCTCAGCTATCCACAGACTTTCCCTCGAATTCCAGACAGTACTAGCTCTAACCAAGCCCCCCAAGGTGCGAGACGAAACCAGGCTCCGAATTCTATTTACGCCGTCGATGGACAAGACTGGTATCTTAAGGATGGTGTAAACTGGCAGTCCGGCTTCGATACCTGGAACATGGGGAATGGACCATCCGGCTCGAATATGTCGGATCCATCCATGTTCATATTCACTTCCAATCCGCCTGCTAATAATTCCGGACGTTCTCTTGCTCCCATGGATTTTAACTTCGAGGGTCTTAATAACTTATCTTCTTCCATGGACGGATGGGATCTTCCGAATTTGGAGTAAAAAGATGGCTAACTCAAGTGTGTATTTCTAGTACCGTGCGTTTGTTGAAGTTAGCGTGCTAGGCTATGTGAAATCTTGAAATTATATAAGGAACTCGGGCAAGCGAGGGGGCATGATTTAAGAAAGCTACGACGGCATAATTTGTATAATGATCTTACACGTGTTCTTGGCCTCGCTCTCGTTCGGTGATGGCGAGAGACGATTAAAAAAGAATCCATGTCTTGGGACTAGCTAGACATGTAAATGTGACCACGATAGTTATTATCCACCTATCTTGATCAATTATGTCTATCTAATACTGCTAGAA